TTTATTATAAGCACGTCGCACATGTCTACGGCCGTGCTTATTTGATCTGAAGCGCGCACTCGTAAAAAAAGTCAAAGCGTTAGAGAAATTGGGAGCGACTGCTCTGCTGGTCCGTCCATCCGCGTGCGTGAGTGTGATTATAATTCGAGGAGCCAGGTGCGCCGAAATCCATCTCCAGCTGGGCCGCAGCCGCGAGATCAGAGCCGCGCAGGAATTAATTTTCAAAGTGGTTGCTTATTCTTTTGCTTTCGGCCGTGATGACAGAATGAACGCGGCCGTCTTTGACATCTCAAACTTGGCTTTAATCCCCTCGGCGTGTAACACTTGCTATTAAGACTGCTTAACCATGCAAGCATTTGATTTTATCAAATTCCTTGATCCCCATCATCGCATCTCGCCGCCAGCTCCTCCAATGATACATTTATTATGTCCCTTGTGCCGACAAACCGTCTCAAATATTTTGACCTGGACGAGCGGCAATTCTTGCATATCATTTTGTTCCGGCGATATAGACTGGATTGGACTCGACTTACCTGTCACTTTTATGTACTACGATATTTTTGATAAAATTGGGAAATTATTTCTGTTCGATTGATTAAAATGGTGACTTTTCGAGATCAGTGGATTAATCATGAAATTTATTTACTGCAGAAGTTCGGTAAAAAATTGGAACCTAATTATGAAATATATTTATATTCTTCAAAAAATTAAATTAAAAGGTGAAGTCAGCAGGTTATTAGTTCATAAACAAGGTCCGCGCATCAGAAAAATGATTAATAATTATACATATTGTTGTTTGAGCTTTCGGATTATGGGTATGAGAAAAATTGTACCCAATCAGAACGCTCTGCAACAATTCAAATTTGCTTATATTGTTGTAATGCGTGAACCTTTATATAAAATTATCTAATTTTAAGTCTGAGGTTTTAAGTTAGCTCTGGACAAAAAAAATAATAAAGTTTAATTTAAAAAATGTACTAATTCAATTTATTGCAATTCTTATTCCCTGTTCATTGTCTGTTTGTCGTACATTTTCACTTTATTCATGTAATTAAAATAAATTATTATTTAATTGAAATTTGTGTAAAGCATTCCAGCGATTTGAATTTTGGTCTGAAACAAAGCATTAATTGCCAGTACATTTTAGAGAAACACGCTTGCATACACTTGCTGGTCTCACTGATGTTAATTTTAAACAAATCCGCCATAAGGAGCAAACCACTTTTTACGGCGGAGTATAGTCCACTTTTGCCCTGTTCAATACATAATAATAGTGAAGCACAGAGGAGTCAGTGAGGCAAGTGGAGATTGTGACGCGCCGCAGGTGTTTGCCTGAATAAATAACAAACAACAGTAGCCCAGAGATGTGGCCGGCAGATTGGCAACCACTATTATACGCCGGCAACAACACCCGCTACAAGAAAAAAAGAACGTATGCAGCGAGATTTTTTCTGCGCCCCTGATTAATAATCAGCGGCGGCAGCGTGTGTCTCGCAGGCATTATTATCATTTGCTCGAGTGGATATAATTTCAAACTGCACGCTACACGCCCAAAAGAAACGAATTTTTGGCATCCACTCTGGAATCCGAAGAGTTCGCCACCGGCTGCTGTTTTATTGAGAGCATTCTTCTCAATTTGCATACATAGATAATTACACTATTATTTGAGCTCATTTTCACGTTTCTTTTGTTATCCCTTGAAATTAGATTCAAATATGCCAACAAGGATACAATTAGATCAAGTTTCTTACGATTTCATAAAGAAATATTTTAATTCAATTTATTATTTTAAAATTCCAAATCATTTAGTTTATATGCTAAATTAATTTACATTTTCTATTTTCTACAAAAGAAAATATTAAAAAATAGCAATTGCAATTTTTTATTTAAATAAAATGTAAATTAATAAACAGTATTATTGCTATCGTTGAATTACACAATTTACAACACATTGAAATTTTTAATATAATAATAAAATTTAAATTGATGCAGTATGTAATATTTTCAATTGCAATACTTGTCACTTGAACAAATCACCATAATAATGAAAAATACTGATTAAAAGATTTCAAGCAGGCTGTGAGATTGAATAATTGTGAACTGGTATGTATGTATATATGGCCATCTCGGCGCATTTTTATAATTTGTGTGTGTCTTTTTGCGGGCGCGTGAGGGATCAAGACCGAAAGTGGGCTGCGGGTTTTGGTGTCTTTGAGCGGCTCGGAGCCGCCGATCAACGCATGGCTCGCTTGTCACTCCGCGTACGGCACGCAATCGCATCTCTGCTCAAACCAGACCGGACGTTTTCGCGCATACTTAACTCTTTAGCACCTTGACGCTAATCCTTATTGTTCCGTTGCGTTCGCTCGCTCGCTCTGCTCTCTGCGCGGACACCAAATTACAAGAATTTTCCTTATATAATTTAGAAAAGAAATGAATCAAATCAGAATATTGTGTGATATGTATATAGGAAACAAGAATATTCGTCTTCCATAAAGCAAAAGATATAGTTAAAAAAAAAAAGAGAAAAGAATTATTTAACTAGTTGAATGTATTGCCAATAATACCTAAGTTCTGTATTTGAATTCAATCTAATTTTATTCTAATTTTAAGTTATTTGTTATTTTGAGTAAAATTAGAATAATTAGAGATTTTTACTATATATCAATATATCACATCACCCGGTGATAGAATTTTAATTTTATCATTAAATTTTGTGTACAATGAGGTGAATTTTAATTTGAAGCATTTTATTTAGCTCAATTAAAACTTTAAACCTAAATTGCAGGAGACAGTTTATTTGAAAGATGTGTGTATATATGGGCCTGGGTGAAAGAATAAGTAGGAAATCTACGCGTAACAATATTTAGCGGAATTATACATATTGTCAGGTCATACTTCTGCGTATTTTGCACAATATTGTGAGTGAAGAAACATGACAACATAAGAATCATTTCGCCTTTGTGTTGAACCACGCAGCACGGCAGACTTGCAGGTGCAATTTATTTGTGAGATATGTGATAAAAGTTATATTTTTAATGCTAAAATGAAATTCATGAGAAATAAAATAAAACCTGGAAGTCTCATTGCCATATGCATATTTATATTTTGAAGAAGAAGACGCGTAATATTTAGTCACAAGTTTTACTGTCACACTCTCTGCAATTAAATTCCAAAATATCATAACATAAAATTTAAAATAAAAAAGATGAAGCATCTAAATAAAAATTGAATTTTCAAGCTTATATGTTAAAAAATAATGTTTATAGATCAAAATATCAACAATTATAAAAGAAAAGGAAATTGACTCAAAGTTTTATATAATATTAAAATGTAAAATAAATTTTATTGCATTGTAACATGATAAATATACATTTCTGTTTTTAAGTTTGTCCTGAGTTTGTCTAAAAATATGTTATTAAAAATTTAGCTATTACCTTTGCTGTGAAGTCAGACTCAAATCTATAGACGTGCCAGAAGGCTCTTTTCTATTGAGAGAAAAAGATTTGGTTTTTCCGTCGTCCATCTGCGCGCGCCCGTGTGATTCTATCGTTGGGCACCTTCCGAGAATTCATAATCACCTGTTCAGTGATTTCTGAAAGGTAAACATGTCAAGTTTTAATTTGACGGGCAAATTGAATCCGTTTCGTCAACAATAATTTCTCTGAACACCAACAATGATCGGTGCTTTGCCTGCACATGCGGCCTTCATTTCCGTGAAAACGCTTTTTGAAAAGAAGTGCCGGGCGCGCGAACGTGCCATGGGTGTTGGTGCGCCGAAAACGAAAAAGCCGCCTTCCGAGAATCCCAATCGCCATGATTAAGAACTTTTCATTCGGCTGCCTTTTTATTCTTCCAGATTAGCAAAGTGTGGTTATTTAGAGAAGCCGTCGCTCGCTCGCTCAGTCGCGCCGTTAATTTAATGCAGCGTCATTATCAGCATGCATGCTCAGCTTAAGTAGGTCCGAATTTACTTGGAATCATTTCCAGCCATATGCTTCTCCAGAATGAAAAAAGAAAAGCTTTTATTATTTGCTTGAGAGAGGTGCTGGGCAGCCTGGAGAGCGGCGCCTGTACAGAGTTTTTTTGGAGAGCACGATCAATTCGCGCAAGTTTCGCTTTCAATTACAATAAGCGCGGCATCGCAGCAGCAGTTGAATTATTTTAGCAGCACCTTTAATTAAGTGAGCTACTGATAAATTAAAATACTGTGACTGATAACTAAAATAATTATTGATTTACTTGACATTGTCAGATCCTCAGAATATTATTTTTATTTATTCTTAAATAATATTTCATTTTCCAAGATTGTTCTTACTTTAACTCTGAGGTATTTTCAAATTTAAATTTTTCATTTTCTCTAGAATAGTTACACAAACAAGAATTGTTTATTCGCTCAAAATAATTTTATTAAAAATTATTACCAAACAAATTTTCAAATTGAATGGTAACACTCGAATTTTCAAATGTTTGTGCATATTGTTATCTAATTTATTATAAATCTTGTTTACATTAATAATTAAGAAAAAAAGCATAATATAAATCAAAGAGAATTTTTACAAACAAAAATTATTTATAGTTAATTACATTATTTGTTGTATAAATATTACTAAATATTACATTTTCCTTTTTTTTTCAATTTTTCAGTGAAGTTGGTAATTTCTGCAGATCTTTAATTTTTCCCTTTTAGCAAATTGAATAATTTTTTCTAATTTTTTTGAAAAAAAATTTGAACATACACACATTGCAATTTTGCTATATATCCTGAATGTTTCGATTTTCAGCCGTCAGGTGCTGCTCTACGACGGAGAATAAGCTCTCTAGCGGAAGACGGAAGACCAAGAATTCGGCGTCCAGCGAAATCAATCTGTGTAAATAAATAACTCATTAATTAATAAAATAACCTGAAATAATTGCATTACACAGTAAACATCATCAAAAAATACTTATTACACCATTGATTTATTAAGAATTTTTCTAATTTTTGTTGCTAGATTCGATTTTCGCGCCGCCAACAGCGCAGAGGGCATTCCGCGCCGGCGCGCCGCCATCTTTATCTTTAGCTTCCATTCCCGCCGTGGTGCCGGACTGGACGTCAAATTTGCCGAATTTTTCAATTTTCCAAATCAATTCTGTCCAAAGTGTCTCGCAAGATGAATAAAGAGGACGAGGAGCCCATGGAGGAGGGAGACACCAATGAAAATTCGGTAAAAATCGTCAAAACCTACCACTTCTCGAAGTTTCAAAACAAGCGGCGTCCTTTGATAATTTTTGTTTATTTGCAGAATCTTGGTTTTGCAAAATTTTTCAATTCGAATTCGCTTATGATTACAGAATGCCGAATCAACTGGTGAGTCGTCCTCTCGTGGGGCGAAGTCGGACGACTTTGACACCAAAGTGGTATGTTGATTTTGAAAAATTCTTGTTCTTTATTACAAAAATTTATTTGAATTATGTAGGAGGCCGACCGAGGAAAGCGATTTGAATATCTGCTGCAGCAAACTGAAATCTTCAGCCATTTCATGAGTGGTAACAAAAGTGAGAAAACTCCCACAAGCCCTCTGAAAGTTAAGCCTGGCAGGCCTAAGAAGATTGCTGCTGAACCTCGTATCTCGGAGTCTGCTGCAGAGTGAGTTCCTCCTGGTTGCATTTCAAAAGAAAATTATTGATGATAATTTTTTTTTAATTAGTCACCGTCATCGCAAAACTGAGCAAGAAGAAGATGAGGAGTTGCTTGCAGAAACTAATGCCAGCGCAAAGGCTATTACTAGATTTGATGCATCTCCATATTACATCAAAAATGGTGAACTCAGGGACTACCAAGTTAGAGGTTTGAACTGGATGATCTCACTTTATGAAAATGGAATCAACGGAATTTTGGCTGATGAAATGGGTCTTGGCAAAACTCTGCAAACTATCTCTCTGCTGGGGTAATTTTAAAATAATTGCGTAGAAAACATGATGCTTAAATAAAATAATCTTGCAGTTACATGAAGCACTACAGGAGCATCCAAGGTCCTCATATTGTGATCGTACCCAAATCAACATTGGCAAACTGGATGAATGAATTTAAAAAATGGTGTCCCTCCTTGAGGGCCGTTTGTCTGATTGGTGACCAGAATGCCAGGGTGAGTTAGATTTAAATAAGTTTGAGAACCAAATATTTTTTCATTTTATATTGAAGGTTGACTAATAGAGCCATTCAAACAAAAATACTGTTATACTCTGCAATAATTTTGATTGATAATATTTTTTTGGTATTAATTCCAGACGACTTTCATTCGTGAGACTTTGATGCCCGGAGAGTGGGATGTTTGCGTCACCTCTTACGAAATGATCATTAAGGAGAAATCAGTATTCAAGAAGTTCAACTGGCGCTACATGGTGATAGACGAGGCTCACAGAATCAAGAATGAAAAGTCCAAGTTGTCTGAAATTGTGAGGGAGTTCAAAACCACCAACCGACTTTTGCTCACGGGTACGCCCTTGCAAAACAACTTGCACGAACTGTGGTCGCTTCTAAACTTCTTACTTCCCGACGTCTTCAACTCGTCTGATGTAAGTTCAATAACAAATCTTCCAACTTTGACAAATTAATCATTTCTGGAAAATTTAGGACTTTGACTCGTGGTTCAATGAGAACAACTTTGAAGGAGATCACAGACTTGTTGAACGTCTGCATTCAGTCCTTCGTCCGTTCCTTCTGCGACGTCTTAAATCAGACGTTGAGAAGAAACTTCTCCCCAAAAAGGAAGTGAAAGTTTTTGTCGGCCTCAGCAAAATGCAGAGAGAATGGTTAAAAATCTTTCTTAAAATAAAAACTTCTTCCTAAATTTAAATTTCAAATTGAAGGTACACCAAGGTGCTGATGAAGGACATTGACGTTGTTAATGGTGCCGGCAAAATTGAGAAAATGCGGCTGCAGAACATTTTGATGCAGCTGCGAAAGTGCTGCAACCACCCCTACCTCTTTGACGGAGCCGAGCCTGGCCCACCTTACACCACTGATGAACATCTCGTTTACAATTGTGGCAAGATGGTCATCTTAGACAAACTGCTTCCAAAACTACAGGAGCAGGGAAGCAGGGTTCTCATCTTCAGTCAGATGACTCGTATGCTTGACATTTTGGAGGACTACTGTCTGTGGAGGGCTTATAATGTAACTAGATTGAACAGTACCAAGAAATTTAATTTTATTGATTTATTACCTAATTAGTACTGCCGTTTGGATGGTCAAACACTGCATGAGGATCGTCAACGACAGATCAACGAATTCAACGAGCCGGGCAGCGAGAAGTTTGTCTTCATGTTGTCGACCAGAGCTGGTGGCTTGGGCATCAACTTGGCCACTGCTGACATAGTACTTATCTTTGATTCTGATTGGAATCCGCAGATGGATCTTCAGGCTATGGTAAATATTTTCTAACTGCAATTGACGGCAATATTAACAGAACTTGAATGCAGGACCGAGCTCACAGAATTGGCCAACTGAAGCAGGTCAAGGTTTTCCGCTTCATCACTGAAAATACCGTTGAGGAAAAAATTGTTGAAAGGGCAGAGGTCAAGCTACGTTTGGACAAATTGGTTATCCAACAAGGTAATGTTATGAACAGCAAATCACCTTTTTTACTAATTTAAATGTGGTTTTAAATTTACAGGTCGATTGGTGGACAGCAAGTCTAATCAGCTGGCAAAGGATGAAATGCTGAGCATGATTCGTCACGGAGCTAATCACGTCTTTGCTTCAAAAGATTCAGAAATCACTGATGAAGATATTGACACCATTCTTGAGAAGGGCGAACTGAAGGTTAGTTTTATACAAATTTATACATTTTGAAATTAGTCGCTAACATTTTAAACAATTCAGACTGAGGAGCTGAAACAAAAAATGGAATCTCTCGGAGAATCATCTCTTCGCAACTTCACCGTGGATGCTCCCACCGAGTCCGTCTACCAATTTGAGGGTGAAGACTACCGCGAGAAGCAGAAGATGTTTGGCATTGGTTCCTGGATTGAACCCCCAAAGAGAGAGCGCAAAGCCAACTACGCAGTTGACGCATATTTCCGAGAAGCCCTGAGAGTGTCGGAGCCGAAAGCACCAAAGGCGCCTCGTCCGCCAAAACAGCCCATTGTCCAGGACTTCCAGTTCTTCCCACCTCGCCTCTTTGAACTGCTTGACCAAGAGATTTACTTTTACCGCAAATCAGTAGGCTACAAAGTGCCCAAGAACCCTGAACTTGGCTCTGACGCAAACAGAGTGCAGAAGGAGGAGCAACGCAAAATAGATGATGCTGAACCTCTGTCAGATGACGAGCAGACAGAAAAAGAGCGCCTGCTCACGACAGGTTTTACAAACTGGTCCAAAAGAGACTTCAACCAATTCATCAAAGCCAATGAGAAATATGGCCGCGATGATATTGAAAATGTTGCAAGAGACGTCGAGGGCAAAACTCCTGAGGAGGTCATGGAGTACAGTGCTGTTTTCTGGGACCGCTGCTCAGAATTGCAGGATATTGATCGCATCATGACCCAAATTGAGAGAGGAGAAACAAAGATCCAGCGTCGTGCCAGTATTAAGAAGGCCTTGGATGCTAAGATGGCGCGTTATCGAGCCCCATTCCATCAACTGAGAATAGCTTATGGCACTAATAAGGGCAAGAACTATACCGAGGAAGAGGACAGATTCCTTGTGTGCATGCTGCATAAGCTAGGGTTTGACAAGGAGAATGTGTACGAGGAGCTGAGGGCTGCAGTTAGGTAATTAATAGTTTTTCTATTGATCATTTTCATTTGAATGAATGAGACGACTAAATCCAAACATATTCTAATTTTTTGTATTATTTTACTTTCAGAGCTGCCCCACAGTTTAGATTTGATTGGTTTATCAAGTCTCGCACAGCTATGGAGCTGCAGCGTCGTTGCAATACTCTGATCACCCTGATTGAGAGAGAAAATCAGGAACTCGAGGAGAAAGAGCGTCAGGAGAAGAAAAAGCGTGGTCCCAAGCCAGGCAACTCGCAGGCCAACGCGTCTCAGGCAGCTTCGTCCAGCACACCTGGCAGCCAGAAGAAGCGTGCCGAACCAGCTCCCGAAACAAAGGGAGGAAGAAAGAAGAAGAAAGTGAGTGAGAAATGAACAGAGGTTGACAAGATTTGAAATTAATGATTCCATGTATTTAGTTTCTAAGTCTAGCGAAGTAATTTATTTTTTGTATTCTAGCCTAGCAATATATTTGAATGTGAACCCTTAAATGACTCACTTTCAATTGCATGCCGGCAAATTACATTTCTTGCGCTTGGACAGTTTCTTCGGGCAAGGTTTTCCACCATTTTGGGCCTCGAGCTAAATTAATAATATTAGAAATCAATTTAAATTTAATTTAAAATCAACATACTTTGATCATTCTGGTCCTCTCTCGGTGGCCAACCCCGCAGGAAGCACTGCATTCAGACCATTCGGCCCAGGGTGTAATCATACAATCAACTGGTGTCAATGGTGAAACATAGTCAACAGAAGCTAATTCTTCCTCGGTTAGCTGTTTGGGGATTGAACCTCCCATGATCGCTTCTATAATTATTATCATGTACCAGTTTCTTTGCATCCATTTAATTTTTCTAATTAAATATTTTTTCTATACCTTTGACTGGACCACAAATTTCCTCGCACTTCTCGGGGCTGTCAAAATTGTTGGCATTTCCTCGGCATCCTCCGTAAATGAATTCCTCACATTGTCCATTGGTCGAGTTAAAAAAGAATCGTTGGAAATATCCTCGGCAAAGACCAGGTTCTTGGTCTAAAGAGCAAATCTCCTTGGCGTCTGAACGGTTGATTTGGCATTCTTGCTGGTGGCAGGGGGCCCATTCCTCCAGCTGGCAATGTTTTGGAGGAATGTGTCCAGGCCCAAGGAAGAATCGAGAACGGCCCCGACGTCCAGTTCCACAGGACACTGTGCATGGACTCCAGTGGCTCCACATTGTCACGTGACAACCCTAATTTTTTTTAGGAGACTGAAAATATTTCTTATTATTTAATTAAAATCCTAACCTGCTCAAGGTCGTTTGAGACTTCGGTGTAGCAAACCGCTCCCTTGACTCCCACACAGTCCTTTTTCTCCACCAGAGACACGTCTGTGCACTTTTTCCTGCCCATTCGGTTGAGGAAGTGTCTGTTCCTCATGCTGAACCCGTGGCCGCACATCACTGAACACTCCGACCACAGGCCCCATTCGGAAACGGCGCAAATTTCATCAAAGCCACTTTTACTGATGATTAATTTTCACCAATAAGCAAACGAGCTACGCACTTACGGACAAGTTGCTTCTTCGGCAGCACACATTTCCTTGGCGACAAGTTGCCTGCCGCAACCCATCATTTCGGCTTTCTGAGGCATCAAATACTTTCTGCTTCTCATTCTCAAACCCTTTCCGCAAGTAACAGAGCATGGTGTCCACTCATCCCAGTCGCCCACTCGGCACTCGGCTGTAGATTTTAATAAAAAACATTTTTTTATTAATGTTACTGAAATTTTAGTATAATTAATTACGCCGGTCAGTATCCTCATCGTTTTCCGCTGTAGCAGCCTCAACTGCGTCCAGAGCGTCGTCATCATCTGGATTGACAACGTAATCACAATCCCTTGGCACCACGTTCTGCCTTTTGAAGTAAAGCCGTGCCAAAGGTTCAATTGGTGGCGCTTCAGGGTCAGGGTTGTAAAACGGCGCGGTCTCGTCGGCCGGCCAGTTCCTAGTGATTTTCCGAACGGGTTGCCGCGGTTCCGTTGGGTCGTTTGGTGACTGTTGGTTTATTAAATTAGAAATATTTAATCAAATTAATTTTCTTACCATGTACGTGATTCCTCCGTCGGTACCAGCATCGTAGGGCAGGAGGTCGACGTTGTGACTCTCTAGCCAGGTGCAATTTGGCAGGCACAGGTTTAAACCTGAAACTCCAACAATCCAATCGGGCGAAGGTCCCAACATGCTGACCAGGGAAATTTCGGGGTGTTTCTTGTCAACCCTGAATGTCGAACTGGTATTAGCGTTGACGTGCGGGTGCCAAAGACCTGCTGCTTTTACTATCGTTCTGATGTGTTGACGCTAAAAATTCAAAGAAATGTAAATATATTGTTTTAATAGAAGTTAACTAATTGCACAATAAAAATTAAAGAAAAAATTAAAAAAAAATATATTTTAATAATAATTTAGAATGTTAAGGTTTAATTATTATGGACCTTGGTGCGAAGCTCGGCCTCCATTGTCCTTGGCGATCCCCATTCGGCCAGTTGGCGCAGCCCGTCAGTAGCCTTGTGACCTTCGCCCCAGACCAAAAAGGATGGAGTGTGTGAGGCACCAATGACGTCGCTGAAGTGCGTGAGCCACAAATTCGTAGGGAAATCCTTGGGGTGCGTTTCTGCTGACCACAGGCCCTCAAACATCACCTGAATAATTAAAAAAAAAATTAATTTCCATTTTTATTTAAAATATAATAATTTGATTTTTAACCTGATACTTGGCTTCGGAACATGCGCAGCACTCATCACTCTTCACTCCGTTCTCCAAAGTTTGCGGCTCGCAGGCTGTCAAACTAAGACCGCCGTCGTCCATGTACCAATTATTCTCGTCTTCGAAAACCATCGCCCTTTATTTATTTATTTTTTTAATTATTTCAAATTAAAAAATTTAATTAGAGTAATTTACCTGAAAACAACGCAACCTGATCCAGCCGGAGGAGCTGTCCACATGACCTGGACCTCTGTTTTATCTAATAGGGCCTCAGACTCTTTAACCGTGTTGATGCAGCGCTCATTGAACGCGGTCAGAGCGTCGCCGAAAAGTTGGAATCGGCCCGCTCTCTGCGGTGACCAGGGGTCAAGCTTCCGTCTGTGTGGAGCTGTTGGTGCTCCGAGCGCTTCGACGGTCATCATGAAGCGCCGGAACTGCAGAAGGCGAGAGTGCCTGCGAGGCCCCATCAGCGTGACTTTGAATAAATTTTATTTTTTTAATCCACAAATTTTTATTTTGGGAGGAAAAAAAGATACTTGTGTAAACCGTTCCAGGCGTATAGCTGTCAGTCTCGCCACCCAGTATGATCTTGTACCCATTGTCTCCAGCAGTCTTGAGTGCCGCGGTTACTTCCCTCGGTGGTTCCCTATTGCATTTTTTGGCCAGACAAGAGCCGACTGCCAAAAAGAGCAGCAGCAACGAGATCCTTGCCATTTTGGCCTGCAAGAGACATAGGAATATTAATTATCTCTTGAAGCACACAAAAGCAGTGACCTCATCTCTTTTTATTGCTTATAAAACCCACACACGCGCATCACCATATTATGTATCAACAAGTTTATTTAGAGCCGTTTTATAATTCTGAGAAATAGAGAAAAGGGTGATACAATTCTATTTATTGACAAAAGCCACATTGATGGTGCAGTTATACAGGAAAATATGAATTAACTTTTTGAGAACAAAATGTGGATATTTTTTATGAATAAGTCTAACCACAACATCCCTTAGGGATATAAATTAATTATATGATGATTCGATCAAAATAATAATATTATATTATTGTACTATCTATATTACTCAATATTATACACATGAATCTGACACGAATGTAATAACTGCTGTTTAACGTCGGAATACCATCTTTCAAAATCGTGGCCTGGAAAAAATTACAGTTTGCTTTGGTATTATTTTATTTTTTTAAATCGGATGAATTAACCATGCATAATTAAAAAATGGCGAGTTGAGAGTTAAGCATTACTTAAAAATAATATTATACACCCAGGTTCTCGTTGAGCGTAAAATTTTGTTTATACAAAATTATACAAATATAATTTTTTTGACTATATTTTAGTCTTAGTTTTTAAATAAAAAAAAATACTAGCAAACAGCTAAAAAAAATTCTTTAATAATTAGTTTAAATGCAGCTAAACTCCAGGTTACTAAATAACTCATTCTAAAAAACAATAATTTGTAAGACGACATAATGAAAATTACTTTTGGTAATTTATATTCTTTATTTAAAAGAATAGAACTATTTGGGAGAAAATACTTGCCATGTAGAGTTGTGTGCAGATAGCCTCCTCCAACGCAACTGCGAGTGAAGCTGCGCCTCGCCTTGGGGTCACAGCTTACAAGAGCAACAGCGACCCTTGTTATCTTTAATCCAGCAGCTTCACATCAAGTGCCTTTTGAGGCGTCTGGCGTTCAGTCATAGACAGGGGAGCGCAACATATTTTTTTGGGAGTCGAGATCTTTCAAACACTTTTCTAAATATCCAATACATCTTTGCATCAGAAGCGCTGTATTTGTTCAAGTGCTCTTTTTTAAAAGCAATATCATCGCAGCAACTTCACGTTTAAATTTAGCTCTTGTGATTATAAAGGATTTTTTTTAAAGTTTAATAATCATAAACAATCTCCTACCAATGGCAAGTTAGAATTTAAAAAGTTTTCAAAATTCTATATAATTATTTCGATGCTTTATGATTTCATTGATTTCTTCGTAAACTCTATTTCAATATTTCTCAAAAGTACAAGTCAAAGAAATTTAATCTTAAATTTCTTCTTGAAGATTTTGTTTTGCATCTTTATGCAACTTAAGGAATACAAAATTTTCTGACGCAGGAAACTGAAATACTTCATAAGTGTAGCATACTCTTTCAAGGCCTCAGAACTTTGGTCAATTTTTAATGATCCATTACTGGTGCGATTGGGAATCCTAGGATAATAGAAAATTTATTTATAATATTAGGACATAATTTAATTTAACTCACATCTTCTGCAGCTTCAGTGCTCCTTGCGGTCATAATTCGGCTTGCTTTCACCAAATGCATTGGCATGTTCTTCTTTTTCACGCATCTGATGAAGGTATTTTGAGAAACAGGGTCATCAACAACAGAGCAGTATTGCCTAATAAAAAGAAGAAATTAATAAAATTTGAAAATTAATTTAAAAAAAAAAGACAAACTTGTACAAAGACTGCATTGATTTTCGTTTCTGACATATCCTGACGACTGGCATTCCCTTGTAGGTTTCTTGGACAAGAGGAACTGCACTATCATCAATGTCTTTGAGCACCACCTCAAGGAAGTTCTCCAATGTCTTTCTTCTTGCCACCAAAACACCTTTCTTATGGCGAGGAGGCTTACCTCTTGGGGCTGGAGGTGGAATGTTTTGCCTTTTCATATGCTTACGAAGCCAGCCACTGTAGGTGGTGTCTGGTAAACCAATGGTGGCTCTGAACATGTTCTGACAGACTCTGTGCCTCTGTCCGTCTCTGGTGTTTAAGAAATAACGGAAAGTGAAGGTTCTTCCTCTAACATCGTACGAAGTCTTGCGAAGCGGAGCCAAAATTTCTATTGAAGACATGACAAATTCCATTTTATTTTTCTTGCTCTTGTTCCAGAATTTCTTCAAAATTTCTTCTCGTAAATCCTCAGTGAAGAGGTGACACATAAACTGATTGACTGTCTTATTTTGCCTGTGTTTGTTTGGATCACAGGCTGGCTTTAGCTTTGCTCTTGCTTCCTTCTGGATGATCAAAGTTGTTCCGTCTGCTCGCTTTACTTTTGCTTCATAAGGCAGTCCAGCCTCTCTCAGCCTAGCGTTGACTCGGTCAAATGTGCTTGTTTTCATTGCTTTGATTTCCTCGGCGGTTCTCTGGGAAGCAGGCTTCTCCAGTGCTTTTTTCCTGAACTCTTCTAAAGGAAAAGGAGCAGGTTGTAGCTCATCAAATACTTCCTCCACAGTGTCTAAATCTGCTGTAATTTCATCCTGCTGCAAGCAATTATATAAAATTAAATTATAGTAAAATCTATAGTTTTGGAAAGAGAGAAATTACTCAATCTTACATTGGCTTGGTTGGCTTCTGCAGCAATTGAAGCCAAAAGATCATCATCGTCAAGGTCTAAGAAGTTATTGATTTAAATAATTTTACTGATAAGGTTAATTTTAATTCCTTACCACAATCCATAGTATTGTCAGGCCCATCTCCACCAACAGAATGATCGTCACCCTCATTTTCTTCAGAAATTTCCCTAATTGTTGCACTTTTGTCGTCCTGAATGGCACTATGGTTCACTAAGGTGCCAAACATTGTACTCTGATTTGCCTCAAAAGATGGGCCAACATTGAAACTGTTCACGCCATTGGATACAGTTGTCACAGGATTCGAAGAGTTGTTTACTGTAAAGTTAAATTCATTTATCAACTATTAGCTAAGTCCATTAGACAATTTATAGCTTACCAAGCACAATGACGGTGTCAGAAGACCTGGCGCTATCTAGTACAAGGCTCCCATTCAGACTAAGTATGGGCTTTGCAGTTCTAGTTAATTCTGTGTTTTCAACTTGATCCATAGATTTGCCAATTTGCTTGGCAGGTGAGGATGTGTTAGTTTCTGCTGAAGTCTCAGTGCTGGTGGTTGGGACATCTTAAGTATTGAATATATATTTATAAAATTTATAATAATTTTGAAATTTTTACCTCTATTGCAGTCTCTAATTTGATGTTTTGCCAGCCAGACGGAGCAGTTGAATTTCATTCCACAGTACTGACAGTTGGTGGGGGCACTGTGCTTGGCAAATATAGTCAGATTCATGAAACGGTCACAATAGAAACACTGCTGGCCCCTCTCATGTGCCGTCTTTTGATGGCTAATTAGAAGAGATTGGGATTTGAAAGACTTCTGGCAGGTTTTGCACTTGAAGCTGTTTTCATGTTTGAGCGCCGTATGCTTTATGAGGGAAGGCTTGTCACACGCCCAAAAAGAGCACTTTGGACACTCAAAGACACTCTTGGGCCCTTCCTTGTGTCCCACCTGCAAATGCCTCTTCAGCTCAGACTGTGATTTGAAGGCTCGGACGCACTGGGACACTTTGCAGCAGAACGGGAAGTCGTGCACCATTCTGTAATGGTAACGAATCTCCTTCTCGTTGATAAACATGCCTTTGCAATTACTGCATTTAAGCATTTTCTCATCACAAGAATCTTCTTCCTCCTCTTGTTCACTTTCATTGTCAGACTCCAAAATCTTTGAAGATGTCTCCCCTTCTTCCTCCGACTCCTCGTCTGGCAAGTCTGATATCACCTGCACACTAACAACTTCTGGCTGGACATATTGGTCTTGACAGAAGGCCAGAGGATCTCTGTCAGTTGCAGTTTTATGTCCTCTGCCTGGAAAAAAGACTCTTTAATTTCTTGTGCACAAAACGATAAGAGATTTTTGAATAATTTTTATTTGTACACAACTATAGAAATTTCATAAAAAAAATTCAAGCACACACCTCTCCCTCTGCCCCTTCCTCGACCTCTGCCTCTTCCTCTTGTGCCTGTTGTTTTCCTTGGGATCCACTCGGAATCATCCCTCTCATAGTTTGAACTGTTGACCCAAACTGTGTCAGGCATCTTCCGAACATTTGAGTTTGAAGGAGATGATGTCGCAAGTTCAACAATTTTAATGCTGGTTCCTCTACCTCTGCCACCATAGGTCTTTGCATATGGGTTCTGGTTTTTTAGATCTCTACTCATATTTTCTTGATGTTTTGACGGTCTCTTCAACCAACAACAGGGCCTGCAAATTTATACAAAAGAAAGTTAAAATTTTGATTTTTAAAAAAGCCTGGGAAAAATAATGTGCACAAACCTAATTTTTAAACATTTTTGTACAAAAACCAACTTTCAAAATGGAAAGTAGCTATAATTACTGGCAACCGCGGCAACGCTATTTTGGCAAAAGTTGCAAGCAAAATATATTTATTTCCTTTGTTATTGTTTGTATTTTAAACGCCGGACGTTTTTCGGGTTTATCATCCCTTGCGTCGCCTCTCGGCCACTCTCGGCACCCCAGCATGCAAACTGGCAGTGCTGCCATCTCTATTCTATTTATTCAGCTCTAATAATGTTGCAACCTTTGATTGATTTCATTAAAACCTTTTAACGAGATATTATTAATAAAATCTGCCCTTCCAAATTTAGATTTTTCTTTTAGTTCTAAAAAAATCATGTGATTTTATATTTTTTTGTTCTAAACAATTAACAATTAAAAAATTACTTGCGAAAACACCGAAAACATTCAAAAATTGCTTATTTTCCTAAAACACTTCTTTTAAAAAAAATATACACAATTTAGTTCCAAAATATTAAAATAAATATTTTTCTACTGTTCCAAAGTTGGGTAAAAGTGCTAGATTAAAGCTAACAATTCTGTTTAGCTTGACGATTTTGACCTAGGATGAATTTGATATAAGGTGCCGTGTAATTTAAGTTAATTTTTTTTAATTGTATAATCTAATTATTGTTAATAGCTGGTTCGCCTGGTTCCGCTCCAGCAAGTAACTTTGCAATGCTGTTCCTCCTGACACCCAAATCTTTTCTTCTCTTCCTTTCACTTCCCACGGGATAGGTTCGATTAGAGCTGTACCCTGGCTCGTGGATTTTTAAATGCTTCTTTAAAGTTTGCTGAAATTAATATAATTTTATTAATTTCTGTTAAGTGGTTTTATTATGTTATACTCACTATGGCTGAGAAAGTTTTATCACACATAGAACAAGGAATGCGGAGGAAATTGTGTCGCACATTGATGTGATGCACCAAATTTCTTTTATATTGGTAAACTCTGGAGAAAAAAGAGAAATATATTTGATGAAGATTTAAGTATACTTTTGAAAGAAACCTTGTGCAATGCATGCATTGATGAAGTCCTGGGAATTTAGATGTAGGGAAATGCTGTCCTTTGATGTGCCGAATAAGATCTAATTTATTCTGGAACTGCAGCCCACATTGGTCACAAGCAACATTGCCAGCTAATAAAAAGCATGGATTTAAATTAAAAATGACTTTATATTGATAAATTTGTTACCATTTGGGTGGCACTGAATATAATGGTATTTTAGCAATTCTTTTCCACCGTATGTACTGTCACAATTTGGATGAGGGCACTTCAGTTTATTGTGGAATGGTTTGTGCTTTGTAAGCAGCCTTCGACTGCTGAACAATTTTAAACAAATTTCACACCTGCAGAGAGTTTTTGGTGTTGAAATCAGATAATTTAAATTCCATTTAAATCTTACTTGTATGGCTTCAATCCCAAATGGGAATTCCAATGGTCTTCAATGCCAGTGCGAGTCCTGAATGCAGAATTACAATCTTGACAAAAGTATTGCAGGCCTTTTCCTTTCAAATGGAAATTTCGGTAATGCTTCAACATGCTGTGTTTGTTGGCATACATTTTCTGGCAGGTGGAATGTTGACACCTGCAATGCAATTATTGAAAATAATATAAAAATAAATTATCGTTGATAAGAATCCGACTTGATTTTTTTCATTTTCTTGAACAACAGAGAATTTGACTTGGAGGCATCATGCTGGGCATTTGATTTTTGATTTGGATCAATCTGTAAATTCAAGTGTAAACACACGAAAATTAAAATTAAGTCAAATCTTAATAAATTTTATTTATACTAACCACTGTCAGAGGATCGTTGTCTTTTACTGTTAAGTCAAGTGGCTCTTTCTCACTCAGCAATTCTGAACTGAGAATACAAAGTGAAAATATAATTTTGATTTTAAGATATTTTCTATTTTCTTCAGTTTACCACTTGTGATGATTTCTCAGATGCAAATGCAACTTATACTTGCTAGCATAAACCTTTTGACAGCCTGATTCCGGACAAGAAAATTCTTTCTGCAAAAAAAGACATAATAACTTATTAATTGTTGCTAAAAAAAAAAATTAAAAATTCAAATCCCTTAACTAAAATATTCCCAACTGACCTGTCCGATGTGGGCAGCGGAGACGTGCTGTCTCAATCTGTATGGCCTATTGAACTTTTTCTCACAACCATCGTGAGGACACAAGAATACTTTACAAACGTCAGAATTCTTCCTCTTCTTTGGAGACATTTTAGCTGGACAGGAATTGAGCAACGTCAATGATAATAATTTTCTCTTAAATCCAAACATAAAGTCGGTAAAGGCATGCACCACTGTAGAGGAATAATCAAATGCGAAAACTACGTTTGTAATTATGTAAACTCTATGAGCTATGAGCGGTATGTATACATTTACATAATTATACGCAGAACAAAAAATACAAACCTTCTAATTTCTTTACTGTCGGTAGATTTGGAAAAGACAAGCACGAAAAGTGCACAGCATTTCACGATCAATTGGAGCTGATAATTGAAAAACAAATAATTAATTTCTACTCGTCGAAAAAATGTGGTGTTTTCAGTTTTCAGCTGGATCGGCAAGCAAATTGTAAACAACACAAGATGTGACGCATGCGCGTAATCGTTTGACTCACATGCTCTTCACCGGTGTTTTGTTTGTTATCGTGTACACTATACCTTTTTTAATTACATACTTCAATTGACTACTGTTTTAAAGGATTTGTGCTAACTGACGCGTGTGAAAAGAAATAAATAGTGAAAACATATGTGTTAATGTTACTGACAAGATCTATAAGTGAACCTAAAGTGAACGTGCAATATTTGAGTCAAGATTTTAATGTATTCCGTGGCGTTTGGTGATGCTTATTCTTATTACGTGTTGTGTTTTATCACAACAATTTGAAAAAGTCCAGGTCGCGTCCAGGGAAACATTGAACCGATGATTACGCAGTGAAGTGCAAAAAGTGAACCTCTTAATTAGGGAGGACGAAGACGATTTGTAGGATATGTGGACAACGGACGACTTCATGAACCAAAGTAAGTGCCATAATATTTTATAAATTTTATTCGCTTCATGCGTCTTCGTTTTCTTTAAAATTGTAAAAGGTTTGTAACTTGTAACAATCTTTTTTTGTTCAATAACTCTTTTCTTAATTTGAAAGAATTCATAAAATTATTCCTAGTAATGAAGCTTGAAATATAAAAAAAAATAAGACACATGAACAGAATTTAATTAATAAAAATAATTTTTGGAGGCATAAATTATTTTGATTCAGACCAAAATTAAACTATAGCAAATTGCGTTATTACATATTTTTTTAACAGCTTCATATAGTCAGGATTCAATTCTAAATTACATGATGTTCATTTTGTCAAAATCATACTGTGTAACTGATATATGAAATATGGTTCGGAAAAACTAGTAAGGAATGTAAAATGTTGAATATTTCAAAACAGTTTCATAATTTTTTGATAAAAATTAATAAAAATGCATATATATTATAATAGTTATTATAAAACATTTTCATTTTTATATAGATCATGGAATTTAGTGTAACTCTGATATCAAATATTTTTGCAAATCTAAGAAATTAAATTCTTTATTTGCATTGTTGCCATGATTTTTGTAATATAAAGCATAAATATTTATTTAAACAATCAAGAACTAAAAAACAATGCTTAAAAGCGCTAAAAAGGAAGAGAGTTTGAGCCATGAAAGTCAATATTTTTCGCAAATAACACTATGAGTGAAAAAGTCGGCACCGGTTACTAGTTTCACATCCTGAGGCAAAAAATAAGCGCAGCAGTTGTCCAGGCTCTCGCTCGGTTCTTTCGGTGCCCACAAAACTTGTTCGATTTCCACGCCAGAAGTTTCCCAGATGAACATGTTTAAATTGATTTGCGATCTGATCCCATCCGTCCAGTATGTTCTCATATAGGGATCTGAAAATGCGCCCGCAGAAATTAATAATTAATTTTTTACAAACCATGAGATATTTAAATTTAAAAGATCAATAAAAAAATTAGGGAAAAAGCAGTTGACATAACTGACAATTAGATCGTCAAAATAAAGTAAATAATTATCTGTATAATCTGATAAAAAGTAGCAGGCCACTTGCTTGTTTACTTACAATCAAACGTGTACAAATAACTGGTGATGTCAAGTTGTTCCTTTTCGGTTTCAAACACGATAAGCTGGGCGCCTTGGGACTGACAATAGCTGGCTGCACCGGACCTGTCATACTGTCAAAATTTTTTCACCTTCAATCTCAGGCCCAATTTTTTTAATTCTCGTGATTTTTATTTTATCAAACTCACCAGGTCTGCCTGGATGAAGTACTCGCGTCCTCCAATAATGATTCGGTTCTTCGCCAAAGAGATTAAAAATGAAAAATATGTATTAATATTTTTAAATTGATCTCATCATCTCCTACCTGAGAGTCGCCACAGCAAACTGTCATAAAGGAGATAACTAAAAATAGCACGACTTTGTCTAGTTTTGCCATATCTGTCAAACAATATGACCGACAAAAACTTTAAAGCCTTTGTGCTCTTCTGAAGAAATTAACAAAGCGATTTGAATTCAGAGTGGATTATAAGAAATGTGGAGCAGTGAAACGCACTTTTCTCCGTTTTCATTAATCCCATTAATCTAATCGCGCTTTTGGGATTAAAAACTATAGCTGCTATTTATCTGTAATCCAGAACAAGCGTATTTACCGTTACCGCTCGCTTTTATTTTATTAATTTGACTTTTAAATATGCTTACAGTACAATGATTGAAAATGGTCTTGAGCCCTCTTTTATCATTTCTTAATTAATCACGCCATAGGGAATTTTTATTAGTGTTGAAAAAACCAGCTGATTAAATTTTTATATTTTTTTATTCACATTAAGACTTGTGAGATTGATCCTTTTCTTAAAAACTAAAACTACGTGTTACACAGTCCGTATTATAGATATTGAAGAGTTCATCTTGGCATTGAGCATGGATGTTATTTAAGCCTGCAAGAAAAAGAGGTCAAATGTATCTTATGGCCCATGACAGCAGCAAGTAACTTTAATTTACTTCATTTTGCGCAGCAGGCGGTGCTGCTTCTGTAATTTGCTGCTGTTGTTGCTCGGTCGTTGAGGCTGCTGGGGTTTCCTGGGGGGCTTCAGTAGGGGCTACAGTGGTTTTGGACTCTTCAGATTCGCTTGAATTGGACGAACTGTCGACTGGGAAAGGGCTGGACAAAACTGACGCCAAGCAGAGGAAGGCCATCATGGCCCACAGCATGCGTTTGCTCATCATTTTGGCTACAAATATTGTAGAAAAAAAATGAAAGGTTTCTTTTAATTTAAATAATATTGCAATGATAAAAATGGCATAAATTCAGAGCTTTTAATCTGCCTTTAATGCATTTATTTTATAATAACCGTCATTGTAAATTGTCTAGTCTCGAAATTAATAAATTTTTATTAACATAAAAGTATTTCATACGCTAAAAAAAATTAAATAAAAAATATTGAGAAGATTGTGAGTGTCTATAGGAGTTGCATTAATCACAAAATGAAAAATTGTATACGGAAGCAAAATATTTATTATGAAAAACGATGATATACAAACTTACCTTGAATTTTGGTGCTATCGTGAGAAGTGCAAGGGTGTAGTGATGATTAAAGGCTCTCTGACTCTGCTGCTTTTATTTATATCTTCTCGGCACACAGCACTCTGGACCCAAAGTGTTTTTATTTGCTCTCAGATTGATTCTTCATATAAACAATTGATTAAGTAATATAACAAATCTTATTCAGCGTAGAACGGCCCAGAAAAACGAACATCGTGAGATATATAGACTTAAAAATAGTGTCATTGATCGCGTGCTATTGTTTTTATTAAAAGACGTTGGACTCGCCTAGAAGATTCTTTGAATTTTAAAATCTGTATTTTTCATTCGTGACGCATGAAGTTAATTTTTAAATTTGTATTAACTTGCGTTTTTAATAGGTTAAATATTTATTTCCTTTGCGTGTTTAGGTAGAAGGATTTCAAAGAATAAAGACCATCATTAAAATTCACAAAAAAGGATTACTCCAAGAAAAATAATAAAATCCCATAATTAAAACGCTGTGTGCGCCCAAGGCCAAAATTAAAACCACTTTTATTGTTTGCATTTAAAAAATCCATATTGTTGAAAAGCTCTCTCATTTTCGCTCATCATAATATTTACTTGTGTATATTATCATTTAGACTATTTTTCTCATTAAATTTATCATGAGGTCAAACAGTAAAATAAATTCAACCTTTGCTCTGTATGGCTCCGTAATGACGAGACAAGCTCTTCTCAGCAGCTGCCATGTTCTTTTTTATTTTTTGTGTGACGCCGATTCCATTTGTATTGCTCTTTCAAACTACGCCACTGCTGCCTGTGCTGTTTGGTCTGAAACTTTAAGTATAAGCTTAATTTTGATTTTCTTGAAATAATTATTTATTTGGTCTTTGGTATAGAAAAATGCGCTTCTTTGGAGTCATCTTGCTGATGGTAATTTTGGTGCTGTCGAACAACGCCTGCGATGCCAAAGGCGCTGGACGATCTTCTTGGTCGATGAAATCTACATCTAAGGGTCGCAGTTCTCACCTTGTGTCTAAGCCACATTATTATCAGAACTCCAATTACCATGGAGGTCATGGTTTTAGGCAAAGAGAGGAAGACAATTGCTCTTTTTTTTGATAAATATATTCTAAGAAAAGAAAAATGTAAGAAGGTGAATCACAACTGATTATTTATTAATTCGCTAATGATAATACATTATATTTAAAATCATCTTCATGAAATTTACAAAAGTAAATAATATTTTATTTTTTATGTAATACCAATTTTATTTTACAATACCTGAAATTATTGAAACAAGGCAATGAAGTGTGCATATTTGTATGTGGCGCCAACATATTAAATATATTTTTAATAAATTACGTTTACATTCTATAATAAAAAAATTATACTAGAGTTTTACTCAATCTTTTGTGTTAAGTAGCTGATTAACTCTATGCCACAATTGAAACTGCCATTTTTCCTCAATATTAAAAAAAAAATGATTTTTTTTATCCCAGCTCATTTTTGGCATTGGTGTACCCATCCAACTTTCTTCTCACATGATCTCGCGTTATCAAGAGGTCAATATCAAAATAAATTCATACTTTGCTCCGCAATGCCCTATCTTCTTGAAAACTATGCCATATCGCCATATCTGTTTTTAACTGTGACGAGGAAAGATCCATTTTGTTGCTCTTTATTACTACAACGCTACTTTTTTGGTTCCAACACTTCAAGTAAGCAAATTTTATAATTTATTTGTCTTGAATGCGTAATTGATTTAATCTCTGGCAGATATGAACTACCGCAGAGAACTCGCGATGGTGGCAATCTTGCTACTGTCAAGCATCTGCTGCGAGGCCTACGAAAACAACGGACATAATTCTTTGTTGAAAAATCTGTTGACATCTTACGACAACCCAACCTATCCAAATTTTTATCAGTACAAACCACCAAAATTACCTGGCAATTGCTCTTTTTTCGAAAGATATATTCTGAGAAAAACTTTTTGTGGTAAATGAAATTAAATTGGTTTGTTAATAAAATGATATAAGCAAATATCAAGCAACTTATCACATTGAAAATAATTTAATTTTTTTCTTTTGAACATAAAAAATATACAAAAGTGAAACAAGTTTAGATATATTAGTGGGAAAAATAAGTTGAAATCACAAAATTATTAATTAAGGACTCCTCATTGACATAGTCAAATCAAGTCTTTACAACAATGGTGTGCTATTCAATAATTGCCCAAAATGGCTTGCTATGGGATTGTAAAAGACTGATTTGACTATGTCAATAAGGAGTCCTTAATTACTCAATTATTTGGTTTGAAATTGGTGATATTTCTTATCTACGTATACTAATATAATACCAATGCAAATTTCATAGTTTTATAGATATTTGCCAAATAATTATAAAATTGAATTGCAACTCTTACGCTGCACCAAATTATTTAATCATTTTTTTGTCAACAATTTATCACAGGAATAGGAAACCAAATTATAAGTAATATAAATTGCTAAAAGTTTAATTTGCAAAGCTTGAATTTTTGCCTATTTAATAAATAAACCTTGCAGCTTTTTTACAAATAGATTGGCACATATTATGTGTGCATTCCTTATTCATAGCGCAACGGCAGCCACGCAATATTTCACGTGCGATATGCAAAATAAATGACGCCGACTAGTTCGGTGCGCATTTCCAAACAATCCGAGCTGCGTTTTGCTATTTTATCTGACAAGTGCAAGACCACAATGCCTAGAGCGCAGTTGTTCCTTCTGGCCGTCCTGCTGGTCGCCAAAATCACGGTTGGTTCCTCGCGAGTTTTCACCGAAAACCACAAATTCGCCGCCTCGTACATCATTCAGGCGCCTAAATTGGAGCAGATAAATCCGCCGTGCCCAGATGGATTCAAGCTGGCGTACGGAAGGTGCAAAAGGGTCATATCGTCATTTGTAAGGGTACAGGTACGGGCCACAAAAAAAATAAAAAATTATTGCCAAACTTGATTGTGAGCAAGAGGAGATGAGAGAAAGTACAAAATCTAATCGTTGTTCACCTCGACAGGGGCAATGAATTCGTGGGGTTTCCCGCCATCAAATCCGGGAGAGCTGTGTTCTTATCAAATCTTTCATTGTCGCATTGAGCAAGGAGGAGAGGCCCAACGGAGCTTGAAAGTTGTAATTATTTAAAATTTGCAAATAAATTGATGATATTTTTTTAATTCTTGAAGTCATTAGCAAAAAAATCTGTTTCATTCTCGGAACTAAAAGACCTTGAAGGTCGCAGATGAGTGTTTTGGTTAATGTTTTATGGAGGCACATTCTTGTTGTTTTACAAGTTGGAGGAAATTGTTTTATTTACAGTCATCGTAATACCAGCTAAGCATGCAGTTGGCGGCCTATTGCTAACTATAGTGTAACAAAGTGTTTCGTAACAATAAAGCGCATAGAAAAATCTGTACGTCCCCAATGCAGTCAACTACCATTTTACATTTTTTAAATTAGAAATAACATTATAATTTTATTTATGATAATTTTTTAAGTAATATGAAAAAATAATTATATTTTCATCATTTCGTTTGTTTTATGAAAGTTTGCAATCTTTTTAATTTTTAATTTATATTTAAAAATTGTCCTAAAATGAGTTTTGAATTAAATTTGTAATGTTACCTAACATAATATCAATAAAAATGGAAAATTCATTATTAATATTGAATGATTATAAAAAAAATTCCTTATTGCTAAACTTCACAGGTCAAAATTGATTAGTTCTGGGAATTTGAGAATTTTAGATGTGTGGGTGGTCGAATCTTAAGGAAGGTCATCCACTTTTTTTTATTTCAAAGGCCTTCTAACTAACACCATTGTGCAAATTGAGATTCAATGCTTTTTGCGGGCGGATCGGTTCAACAATATTCGTCATTGTTAAAGGTCACTGGTTTTCTGCCACACTCAGCAAGACAAACAACTCGATCATGCCTGCTTGCTCCAGTGGCCTCCGACCTCTTTGGCGACACATAAATATGCATTGGCGATTAAATAATATTGAGCCATAATATATCGCGGATCTTCTGAGAAGTCCCGCAGCAAGAGGGAGCCGGCGTGGAGGAAAGAAAGTTCCTATTTGAGCAACTTAACCTTACAGAATGCTCGTATATAAATGTTTTCTTACGACCACTCTCACTTTCATTTGTGCAGTATAATGTGTTAGCGGCAGGTGCGTGATATGCCGCGTGTGTTCGTGGTCGTCGTAGCGGTGCTCCTGGTGCTCAACCCCAGCCACGCGTTTTGCTGGCTCCTTTCGGACTTATTCTTCCCCAACGCCAACTCCACCACCGTCGGGGGGACCGTTTCGAATGCAACTCTGGACAATTCTTCCGAAATTGCTGAATTGACTGAGGAACCAGTCGAATCAACCACCATCAATGCAGAGGAAGCAGTCGGTGAAAAAAACAAAACCAGTAATTCGAGACTCCTAGAATTGTTTGAAAAGGAATTTTTGGGCAGGGCCAATATTAACCCGACTTTTAATGATTTAGAAGAGAATAATGCCATCGATTCCGGAACTGGTCGAAAGGGGAAAATGCTGATCAATGCCCCAGACCGGCGCTGCAACAAAACCAACGAACGTAAAGACCGATTCGGCCGGTGCAGAAAGTTTTTGGATTAAATTTTATATAAATTAAGAGTGATTTTTCCGAGTTTGAAGTGAGACTCAAATGTGTGGCAACTGGATAAATCCAGACCAATCGTAACGACTGCGGCAAGTGTGCCGCTCATCACGCACGAGGCCGCGCGACCTTTGGCTCAGTCAACATGAGATCGGCTTTGTTGGCGCTCCTCTTCTTCGCAGCTGCGGCCGCCGCTGATGACTCGTTCGTCTTTCGGGACGACTCCGCCGAAAAGAGGAGACCTTCCTCATCCTCCCTCATCGAAACGAGGTTGCGCCAAACGAAGTCCAGCACGACCACCGGCCGCCCGCGGGTGGTGGACAGGGACGCCGTTGTAATGCCCGACCAGGTCTCTCAGAGGTCCACCACCTCTTCCATATCAGTTTCCAAGTTGAGAGCGACGACCCATCATTATCGGCACCACTCCACGACAACGGCGCCTCCTGGGAACAGCTCGGATGTGATTTTGGACACAAGAGTGATGGCGAACGCGCCGAACAGAGATTGCGAAGAGGGCTATGTCAGAAATATGAGAAGTGGAAAGTGCAAGAAGGTTTTTTGACTGCTTCATAAATTTGGCTTTTATTTATATTTGTACTGAATCGATGAAATTCAAATACACAAATTTAATACTTTAAAATGGAATCACAAGACGATAATATTATGTACATTTGGTAAATTTAATTTTGGTATGTGTAATACAATACTCTTTGAAATAAATAGATATAAACTTGAATATTTAAATTGTTAATAAATACATGTCATACTCTTTATAATTGAAATTATTGCTTGACTGGCTGATTCCAATAATTAAATTTTCAAAAGTGTTTGCTTTAATTTTGACTTTGTACTAGCATTTTTTTTTTTTTTTTTTTGTTACAAATAATATAGAATTGTCTCAATAGGTGATTTTCTTTTGATATAGAGAATCAAATAAAACATAATGCATTAAACTATTTTTCTTTTTTAGTCTTATAAACCAACAATATTTTAATTTTTTCACTTTGATTCACCGTTACTTTTATTTATTAATAATGTTAAAATAAAATGATGATCTATATGTTCTGTTACATTTTTTTAATCGAAATAAATATTGGAGGCGCTGCACGCGCAGTGTAGATGCTCGGAAATGCCTTTCCACTGATTCATCTTCTATCCTATAGATGACTGTCGTACCGTTGACCTTCAAGTCGCGCGGCTTGTTTTCACTTCATTGCCGTTATTACGCTTATTCAGAGGCATCTCATCTCTAGTTGTTATGCAACTTGGCAGAACACAATACAAGCCAGCGCATCTTCTTGAATTCAGCTATAAGATATTAAACATTTTACAGTTCTCTAAATTCTCTAAATTTCAATAAAAATTGACATTTAAAAACAAATTATTACGTAGTAATTGATTTTAATTAATACCTGAATCAATATAATTTATTAATTACACTAAAAAAAGGAGTATTAGTGTGAATAACAAAAGATAAATTGCTATGCCATTTTTGGCATTTTTTAAATGTGCCTCAAAGAGGCTATTCTGTGCGGAAATTATCTCCCTTACCGCAATGAATGGTCTTCAGATTTGTCTAAAATAAATTCCAAGGTAATAATAATATTTTTATAAATATGAATACCACCATTACAAAATAATTCCATATAAATACTTTTTTGGTCAGGCCAAGACAAAGTGTCTAATCAGCCTGTGCGTATTAAGCTTGCAGAAGGCAAATTATGAATTAATTATTTAGTTTTATGTTTCTTATTTATTATCATCAATTTTATTTAACATTTTCTTTACTTATTATTTACCACAGTAAAAAATATGGCCAAATTTGTGCTTGATAGAATATGACATGGTTAATAATTAGACTAGTTGACCTTGTATTTGTCTGTAGACTAGCGCCGTCTATAAGACTAAGCTCACTTAACGAGCATTTTTATGATTATACTATTTATTTATATTCCTAAAAATTTTCGAGTTGACAATAATTAGCAAAATAAACGACAACTCTCTATTAAATATTTATTTTGAACCCGGCGATGACGGAGCCTTGGAGCAGAATTATAGAATACCAGTTGGAAGATACAAGTCAGTCGAGAGACGGAGTGTGATGTGGACGAAGGCGTCTTTGCGTTTCTCTTCGCTGATCGCGATTTGCGTGGTGGTCCAGAGCATTTCGCAGGCAAACGGAGCTGCTCCACAACGCTGTCCACCTGGCAGATATTATGATACCCAACTTAGAAGATGTTTAATAGGAACAGGTACACTCATAATCGATTCAATTTATAATTTTCAAGCTTAAATTTCACACTTTTACTCTTTGAATTGGTGACTTACTTAAATTTGATTATTATTTTAATAAAGGCGTCTCCACAAATTCTGAAAAAGAGGAAAAATCGACAACGTCACAGCCTGAAAATTTGGGATCCATACCTCTTCAGGTCGCAATTGCTCCTACTCGAATTGATCCTATTCGAACATGTCCATCTGGAGAAGTTTGGTCAGATAGAAGAAGAAAATGCATTCCGTCCATCTCGCGAAATAAATAGCACAGACTGCATTTTTATTATAATGTGAAAACATCGTAAAATATTCCAACTATGTAAAAAAAACAGGCGCATATTAAGCTAAAAGACGTGGAGCTGACAATATTCGTTTTCGTCTGAAGAAAAATACAAAGCTCTGTAGTAATTTCAACAATAAACATTCATCATTAAAATTCAATACAAATTTTACCTTTTTGTAATCAAACACAAATTAACTTCAATATTTTTTACCAAATTTTTTAGAGGTTTTTATTTTCTATTTTGGAAGTAAATATATAGTGAAGAAAATAAGACACACAAAAGGCGCGACTGAGTCTGCGACTCCTCGTTAAACCGGTTTCTTAGTATGCAGGTAGGGATAATTCTTTTCATTTAGCCTTTGGTTGGTTCACCATTCTTCAATCAACACCTGCACATAAAAGAGGTTATGTGCTTCGTTGAACTTCGGAATGTTTACAGGGAAAGATTTAGTTGAATAATTAGCACTTTTTTGCTCACTCCCGGATTCAGGTACGATTTGTCTTTGCACCAAAGCGGCTGACGACATTTCAAAGTGTATACTGTATAGGTCACTAGGGTCAGGCGGTGCCATCTGAAGAGAGAGGCTCTTATTTGTGACTGACTGCGAGGCGCAGTTGGCTGGAAACATGGCTCGAGTTTTGTGCTTGTTTTTCACATTAATTTTGTGCCTCTTTTTTCTCCTGGACACGGCCGAATCGAGGCAAATCGCGAGGAAGGTGTCGCGAAACAGAAGGGACGCTGACGAAGAATGTCCCATGGGTTTTATTTTCAATACTGCTGGAAACTGCATTCCATTCATTAATGGTGAGTTTTTCCTTCTGTATTTGTTCAATATTACTTGCTTAATTTTGTTTGTTTTCGCTGTTTATCTATTTTATCTGCACATGGAAACGAAATGTTGTAAAAATTTCATTAATAATTATTATATAACAATTTAATTTTATTTGCTACTCAAGTTTCACTAACAATTTATTCACCATAAATAAATATTTTTCAAGCTTTAATATTTTTATCTTTCTCTCAAAATAGATGATGAGGATGTCTCTGCTAATCCTGTTGGACTAAGTATTACAAATGTACCTGATAGGTTGAAGTGCAGAGAGGGATATGTCTACATAAAACGTCGCCAACGTTGTGTTAGATCTTCAAAAATAATCAAAAGTTGATGATTAAATTTATAATATTGCTTCCTATTTAACGGTATTTAAAACCCAATTTGCTTTCACCTCCCTCCCTTACTAGTTTTAATTATATAATTAAGAAAAATGGAATGAATTTCTACCGTGTGATTAAATTCCAATCTAAGCTCTTATATGTGATCCCAAATAGAATAAAATATATAATATAAAGTATGTAAAAGTTTTTTTTCTCAATCACAATTATTTGACAAAAATCGCTTCCGCAAACTGAGCAATAAAGACTGAACCGCAGAGTTTATTACTCTTTATTGTCTGCAAATTAATTAAGCAATTTAGTGGTGAGAACTTTGACGCAAGATGAATTAAAATTTTCAACTATGAACCTGCTGCACTTGACAATGAAAGCAACTGACGCACTAAGGGCCCGTCTTGGCAATTAAAAGCACCAAGTATGCGTGACTTCTACTGCTTAAAAGGCCTGGACGGATTTTACACTTAACCACTCAAAATGAGACTCACCCAGGAGAGAAACGTCGTGACTTTAGCCGTCTTTTTTCTCGCCGGGCACCTGAAGGCACAAATTCCAGACAGCGATCCGAGACACTTGGATTGCCCCCCGGGATCACACTTTGCAAATGGGAGGTGCAAGGTGTCTGTCAGAATTCGGTTTGGGGTGAGTGTACATTTCTATAGAACTTGTTACAATCCATTAATTATTATAAATATTAAAACGTTAATAAAAAATTATGTAATAATTTTAACCAACTTTTTCGTGATAATATAAAAAAAATGCAAGTATAGTTGCAAATTGTGTTTATTGATATATCACAACACAGTATAAACACCACCTTATTTCTCATCATATCACATGAAATTTAAAATTATATTACAATAATTTAATAATTTTAATTGGCAATTTGTTTAAAATAAAAAATTTTATTGAAAAGAAATTCAAACCAATAAATAAATAAAAAAATTTGATTAAATATTTTCTAGTTTTTCTATATTGCAATAGTATTTTGCGCACAAAAAGAGAAGTAAAAATCTAGAAATTAACCTGTCTACAACTATGTTTGATATATGTTTAGCGTTGTAATTACACTGTAATAATGACAGGCAGCGCACCAAGGTTCTCACGCTAGATATGATCAGCCACTTTAGTATTTTGAGGGCTTATCAGCCAAAGCGCACAAGTGTAATTGAACCATCAACTCGTTAACGTGTCTCACAAACAAAAGACAGTTTAATTTGCAAGGAAAAATCAGAAAAATGTCTATCCTGTTGCAGCCGGCGCACACCGGTGTCAACAGACCTGAACCGGTACCGTCTCCAACCTCTGTTTTGCCATTTGTAACGTCTCCGAAGCCTCCAGCGATCGTTTCTATTACCACAAAACAACCTGCAACTTTCCAAGAAGACCCGTGCCCCTTGGGGTACAAACTAACGGCAGGAAAATGCAGACCAAGTTATTTACACAACAAAGTACATTAAGCATGTTTTTATTTATTTTTTAATTCAAAATTTAAATTTTCAGTGGCATCCGTATTCACATTTGCCTTTCTATCAACCAATTAACTTTGGGAATTTCCACTCACCATTATATCCTCTCTTTCATCACCCAGCTAATAGCTGTTGGCAAAGTAGCCCATTGGCCTATAATAATAAATATTGGGTAAGATAAATTATTATACATTATTATTATTTTTTTACGTGGTGCTAAACAATTCATTGAACATTGAAGGGATATCCATATTACGGAGGTGGCTACCCTCACAGCGCACTTTATGGTTTGCAGCCGTGGCTAAACAAATTTTGTCCACCTGGATATCATGTATTGCATGGAAGGTGCGAACCACCACAACGCGTCTCAATTTCGGTATAGTAGAAGCATAACTTTTTTTAGCTATTTAATGTGTAAAAAATCTTCAATTTACAGATGAACCCAAGCTAAAAACAAAGGATCAAAATTTTGCTGGAAAAGTCTGAATGAACTTTAAATTTAGAACCGAATAATTAGTTCCTTTATTATATACAATTATGTATGTATCATTTCAGAAATAGACAAAATCCATAATTTAATCTTAACCAGCAGCAACAATTTTTTTATTAGTTTTAAAATCACCTTTTCTATTTAAATAATATTTTTAAATTTATTTCTATTTAATATAGTGGTTTAATCATTTATGAACTCATTCAAATTAATTTCATTATTGACCATCGAAAATAAAAATTATGTGGCAAGTAAACATGTCAAATGTCAAGGTGTGTTATTTTGACTCGTCAGTTGGTCGCTCCATGACGATCAAGGCTCAACTCATTAATTCAATTTGCAAACCCGCAGTTCAAAGTTTGCAAGTGATATTCGTACAAGGAAAAGTATGGTCAAAATTAAAAACAGTAAACAAAAGTGTTGCGCAGCTGAATAAGCTAAAGTCGCAATGAAAAGTTGAACTAAAATTAATTTATTCTACTTTTGCATAATAGTTCTTGCATCAGTAGTGGTTATTGCGGTTAATTGTTTTTCTTGATGGCCGGCCAACATCCTTCCGGAGTCTAAAATAAATTTTGCGTGGAGCTTGATTGTGTGCATTAGCTTGGACCACTGCTTTCAAACAGGACAACCTTGGTTGTTTTTCTATCATGCAAATCAATTATTCAACGCTATTCTTGATCACAGCCGTGCTGTTGGCCTTTGCTCACGCACAGCAACGTCCGGTAGGTCCAGGCGTTCCAGAACATTTAAAAGGAGGTTCTCTGGGATCAGCGCCTCGCGGTCCCCCAGGATACCAGTCTAATGGAAAAAAGCCAGGTTTGGAGGGATTAATAGGATCACCGTTGAGAACATCTATTCCACTTCCCCCTGAACGTTGCGATGATGGATATGTCTTTTATAAACGTTTAAATACGTGTCGGCCGCTTTTGAAGTAATCAAGATAGTATAAGTTTCAAATTATGTTTATCATTGTATCACCGAGAATTCTCTGCATGAATACATCATCTATAAATTCAATATTGTAAAAATCATTAGTATTATTTAGCCTGATGTATTGAAAATGATTGAATATTGAACAATTTTTAACACGCACAAATTAAAATAAACCATTTTTATTATCAAATTGAGTGATTCATTTAAAAACCTTTTTTTAATTTGTCGTTCTAAAAGATATCAATAAATATTTGACACACAAGAAAAGACTGTTAACATTTTATTATCCAATGAATCTAGAATGCTATTTTTGTTATTTGCTGACGTTTAAATAAAGGACTATAGGTAGATTTATAAATAAAACTTAGGAAATTTTAAGGTCACAGTCGTTGTGGTGAGACCTTCATAAGTGTGGTTTTTTTGTGTGCTTTCCCACAAAACGAAAAAATATTCAATTAAATAGAATATACGCCCTTTTTTAAGAAAACTAACACCCAGTCATAAAAAATCCTTCAGCTGCTCAACATTTCTTTGTAATGATGTGCCTTCAACTAAAAAATGTTATTATTTTGAGTTTAATAATCGGATGTGTGTATGCGGAAAGCGGTGCTCAAATCGACTGGCAGACCTTGAGCATCGTACAACTTGTAAGGCGGCGGCTGATCTTCCGACTTCATCATCGCCAAACAGGCACGGAAACAAAATTCGCCAAACCAAGCAGTCGGAAAGAGCCTGGCGTTGCTTTTGCAATATGGGACTCGCCTCAAAGAGACTGTCCACCTGGCCAGATTTCAGACCCTAGAACGAATTCTTGCAGAGATGTTCAAAATTAACTAATTTAAATGTTCTATATATTATGTTTTCTGCTTATGGCACCCTTGAGCTTATTAGGCTATTGGGTCGGATATAAATTATACAACTTTGTATATCGGATTGAAAGACTAAAAAATGCGATCTAAATATTTTGAGTATGTATTATAACACTATTCATATAATAATTTATTTTTTTCCTTGTTTGTTTCTAGATTTTGTGTTTTTGATGGGTATATACTTGGTATTATTCACTTCAAAATTTACCGCAAGGTCACATTGCATTGCGGTTGCTCGTCCTCTTTAACCCAACCATTTATGTCTTCCTCTCGCCTAAACATTAGACAAGAATTTTACATTTCATTTGACAAAGGTGAAGTAAAGCCTCAAGATGCACCACTCTTCGGGCACCAGCACATTCCTTCTGCTGATTTTACTCGTTCTTCTAATTGCAAGTCCTACATCGTCTTCTTATACAAGAAAGAGGACATCAGAGGAGCCCGAGCGAAATGCCACCACCGTCAGTCCTGCCATTGAGGATTTGAATTTGAAGGAGCAGCAGACATTGGACGATAGTAATGCAAAGTTTCTTAAAACTGAGGTTTTGTCAGAACCAAAATGCCTTTCTAATTACGTTTATGACGCACGCACTAGGAAATGCCGAAGAATATATTTTTAAATTGTTGGAAGAAACCGCTAATTAAACAAAAATATTTGTTTTCCACACCTCAATTTTTTTTTCGTTAAAAAATACTATCATTGTTAATTCTTCATAAGGACTGGGATGATTGATCTAGTAATAAAATTATTTCCAAAACATTAAAACGATTGTTTTTATTTTACCAAGTACCGAGTAAATTCGGTGAATCGAATTATCAAAAGTAAAAATAATTATGTTACGAAAGAATATTCTGGATGGGCCATACAAATTCAAAGGAAATCCAAAGAAGAATACCAGTATTTCCTGGCGTACTTATGCTTCCAAAAAGGTTTTAAAGGATTTTTTATAAAGTTGAACCCCCTCCCTCCTTTAAATTGGGCAGTGCCTTCTGCACCACTAATGAAGAATGAAGGACACAGGCCGACAAGGCTTTGTCTTGCGCTGAAAAAAAATTGCAACTCGTAGCTACGGGAATATGCAACAGAGGAGCTTTGTGCGGTTTCCATCGTTATAAAGTTCGGGTGTTACTTTGACAGGCTCGCCAGTTTAAACTGATTGTCTCATTGCGGCGTTTCCAGCAAGACTATGCATTTCAGTTTGTCTGCGTTGCTCTTATTGGCTCTCTTCTGGTCCATTAGTGCACAGAATTACCAGAACTACAGACAGAACTCGGGAGTTAATCAGAATCCAGGTGGACAGCGGCAAAACGAAAACAATTATCAGCAATTCCAGCAGCGGCGGTCAGTTGTGCCTGTCAAGCAACAAAGGTCCAGTCAGCATGTTCAACCCGTCCGACCACCAACAATATCTCTGCTCGAAAGTATATCCGAAATAGTTCAACCTCCGCCTAGAATTAATTGTTCGATGGGGGAAGTATTTGATGAACGCACCAACCAATGTAGGCTCACTATAAGCTGAATTTTGATTAAATTTATTTCATATAAAAACAAAATAATAATAAAAAAATCTAATTGTAAGCGAATTATGTATTAATAAATTTATATTTATAAAATCTAAAGATTTTTGCATATTTAAAGTCAAAAAATTTGTGTTTTTAGTTAGGAAAAATATAAAAATTAATTGATGTATGAAAAAGTTGAAATAAATATATAATTTGCAAAAATTTCTAGATTTTTATTTTGGCATCTTCACGGATTCAATATTTGAATTTTCATACAATTTTACCAATTTTATGCGCTGTGAAAAACGCAACGGCAAAATTGAATCTAATAATTTGTGGATAAATGCCCAGGAAATAAATTTAAAACCCCATTTTAATTATTCAAATCAACTGGTATAGTGGCAAATTTTGATCAATTAGAATTTTTATTACTATTTTTTATAAAAATAAACTGATAGGAAAGGCGCACTTGGAGAATTGCGTGTAGAATATTATGAGAAGTGTGTAATTTGAATATTTCCTCCAAGTTACATTTTTTTAATCAAATAAATAAATTATAAAAATGTGGAGAAATTATTTTTTTCTTAATAAATTGACAATTCCTGACGCCCAAGTCGCACTCCTGAAAATTATCGCAAGGTCACACTGTTCTTGAGATAGCGATAGCGGTTGCACGTCCTCTTTTGCATTGCCATCACTTTATGTCCTGGGTGCTGGATTTTAAAATATTATTTAATTGTTTCTCAGAAATGAAATGTTTGTAGTATTTTTCTAGTACACAAAAATCAGTGAAGGCTGCAATGGAGATCCTCTGTATTTTTTTTTAAGTCCGCAGCCTAACGCCGGTATAGATCCCCTCAACTTCCAATTTGAATACTGTCATCAATCTTTTCCAAAACTGCCGGAGAGGAAATTTTGCCTTTAACAGGTGACAACAGGCCAACCTGCCGTTGCGAGTAACAAAACAAAAATTGTCAACATTATTATAAATTTTCGTGTGTTAATGTTAATGATTTTTTGAAGTCTGCAGCATATGGGAGATTAGTAAGGATAAAAAAGAACGACAGATTTTGAAATAAAATTGTTTATTTTAAATTCATATTTATTTGAATATGAGTTTGAATGATAAATTAACAACGCTATATAATTATGTTATTTAAAATAATAATATCATCATAACGTAAATATGAGGGTTGTTTCACTTTTTGTGAGCAAATGAATAAATTATTTTCACATAGAATTATAAACAGAGTAAAGCAAACAGAATTGCACAACATTAACACGGTTGTTTTTATTATGCACACCTCACATCATAAGTAAACTATCAAAAGTGTAAATTATGCAACAAGAGAATATATTCTGGGTGGCCTCTAAAAATTCACGGGGAAAGCGAAAGAAGTAGGAATATCTTGGCGTTCTTGAATTTCTAAACAGGTTTTTTTAGCACCTCATCATTTTAATTGCAAGTTATAAAAGTCGAGCGTCTATTTGGCAGGCTCTCCAGTCTATCTTGATTGTTTCGTTGCGGCGTTTCAATGCATCTCGGTGTAGCTGCTTTGCTCTTGTTGACTCTCTGCTGGACCATAAGCGCTCAGAATGTCCAAAACAGTCAGGAGTCGGCAGTTAATCAAAATCCAGCAAGACAGAAGCTGAACTCAAACAATCATCAGCAATTCAATCAGCGACAGCCAGTTGCACAAGTTCAGCAAAGAAGGCCCAGCAGTCGGCAGCAGGTCCGACCACCCCAACCACCAAAGCGTCCTCAGCAAGTAACTATAAGCGAAATATTTGATACCCCGCGTAGAGATCCTTGTCCAGCGGGGGAAGCATTTGACGAACGCACGAATCAATGCAGAGCCAGTGTAAGCTGAAGTTAAAACGAAATTTTGTAAACAGAAAAAAAATCAAAGCGTCTAAAATGTAAATGAGATTAGAACAAATTTGTCGTATCCAGATGGTCTTAATAGTAAAATAATTGTAAAATATAATTATAATTAAATGTTTTTATCTATATTATTTTGCTGAAATATGGAACGTAAAACTACCAGGCGATATGTCAATAAAATAAAACTTGCATACCATTAGAAACCAATCCGAACCAATGATAAGCGAAACTTTTGCTGTATTATTTTAATCAAACGTCGATTTCTGTTGAAGATATGAAAATATATGTATTTTGTGGGTGGCAAATATACAAATTATGTCAGCACCGTTGGTTAAAATGTTTTAAGATGAAATGAGCAAATAAACTTATTTTAGCGAAAATTTCAAGTATTTTAATTGGAAACTTGAAGAATATTAGATTTTTGACAGCAATTTAAGCGCTGTGGAAAATGCAGCAAATTCCAAAATGGAATCAGAAAAAATATTACATAGCCAAAAACATTTTTAGAGTCGCCTCAAATTGCACGAGTTAAAATTGCCATAAATGCATTTCATGACTTTGTTTCATTACATATTTGTTGCATACCATAGGAAAGGCGTATTTTTGCAGGCGTATTACCAAATTTATTTTATTTAATATGCTGATGCACTATATACTGCATGTAATAGAAGTGAAGTGGTTGCAATAATTTGATACAAGAGAAATTATTAATTCCTAAAATAATATATAACAATTTTTGAGTCGTTCGTGAAAATTACCGCAAAATGTCAAAGCGATAGCGGTTGCTTGTCCTCTCTATTTTGGTGGCCATCGCTCTACCTACATCCTACCAGCCTGGATTAAAACATTTTTAAACCCGTCATTTAATAAATTCACATGCAAAATTATTTTGAGCCACTCTATCTATATCTGGTATAAATAAAAGAATAAATGAACGCTGGCGAGAAGTTTTAAATTATTCCATCTCAGTCGTTTCTACCAATATTTTTAAATAAACTATCCATTGACCTTCATTTTCTTTTTTTTCGCTACATATGGGAAAACCAGTGCTTAAAAAGATCAAGCTTTTTCATTAACAGGTTTAATATTTAAAGCATTTCGCTCTCAGCTCTACTTTTACGTACTGGAAATAATATAAAAATTAAAGCATCAATTTGAGAGAGTCAGTTGATTTCTTGTCTTCTCGAGCTACCGGCTGTGTCCATAATGCATCTCGTCTTGGTTTCTCTGCTCTTCCTAACCCTCTACTGGCCGATCAGCGCCCATACCGACAGGCAGACAGAAGGTAAAATGATGAAATTAGCCCGCAATGAAAGGTATCAGCAGCCAATAATATCACCACTTGGACAAAGGTACCTTTACAAGAGGCAGACAAAACCGAATTGGCCTTACGGACATGATGACAATATATTCGACGCGCAGGACAGAGATCGGTGCCAGCCTGGCAAGACTTTTGACAGACGCACAAATACATGCAGGACCTCTCATGGATGATTTTAAGTTGAATTATTTTATCATGCTTTGTTAAAATTTTTAAAATTTGCTTCATTTTGTAAAAAAAAATCAGATAATAATAAAAAAAAAATTATGTTACGCTTATAATAAATCTGATAAAATAATAATTTGAAAATAATTGAAAATCATATACTTACAAACCTTTTTTGTTACGGCCTGAGCAGCAAATTGGTTTTCAACAATTACCCTGGGAGCTGTAAGCTTTAAGCTTGTCAATATTAATCAGCGAGCGTTATTTTGAATTCGTCTATTTATTTCATTGATTTGAAGTGCGCTATAATTTAAATTATTAGGTAAGCATATTTAATAAAAAAAAACGACCCGCATTACAGGAGTTTCCATACTGTTAATGAATAATAAATTGTAATTATTTTGATAACACCGCAAAAAATTTTAAATAAAACATAAGTGTTGTTTGAATTATTTAGGAAGCAAATTTATGCAATTGAATCACTTGTTGACCTTGGTAGCTTGAACTTGTATTGTTAGGAGATCCGATATTTAATAAATAACCGGTCAGTCTGGGAATTCCTAAACAGGTTCACTGCAAACCTTGTCGATAAAAAATTGTTTTGAGGAAGCCTGCCCACTGACAAAAATATAAAAGCTAAGGCGTGTCCTCAGGATGGCTCAGTTGATCTCCTTCTTTTTATTGTGGCGAGACGTGCTTGAAAATGCATCTTGGCTTGTTCGCTTTGCTCGTGCTTACTTTCTGCTGGTCGATAAGCGCCCAGAACTATAACCAAAACTACAGACAGACCGGCGCATATCAGAATCCACCAAGGCAGCAGAGGCCATCCGCGATCAATTACAATCAGCAGCAACAGCAGCGGCGGCCGGTTGCACCAAACCAGCAAAACAGACCTTTCCAGCCTCAGGTCAGACCCCAAACACGACCCCAGAGACCTCAGAATCCCCAACAGCCACCGCTCACCGCTATATTTGACGCGCAAGAGAGAGATCCCTGCGGGCCCGATGAGGCTTATGATGAACGCAGCAATAGATGCAGGCCCATTTTTGGATAAATGTCTCTTGAAAAATGTATCTCGCACGTTTATTTTTTTTTTTTTTTTTTTTTTTAATATTAATAAAGTAATCATCAAGCACTACTAGCCTATTTTATTGTTTGCATAAATTTAAATGTGATTAAATGACATAAAGTTTATTAACTTTATAAAGCTTCAAAATATATCATATTTGATTCCTTATTTCTTTTGCTCATTCTTCACCATTTTTGTTCTTGTGTTTTCAATATGTAGACGTTTTAAAATAAAAATTTTAGGGGCGAATGAAGAAATGGCTTTTCGCTAGCAAACAACTTGCTTAAGCACAGCAACATCTCCTTTGAAAGAGAGCGTACCGGCCGCTAGAAAAAAAAATGGGGAGGGAGTTTTGTCATTTATAAATTTTGTTATTTAAAAAAGAGAAAATGCAATTTAATTGATTATTCATTAGCAGCCGGATTTATATTGCTCTTATTTCTTATATTTTTAATTCATTGGGGAAAACCTGTGTAGACGACCGGGCTGTCCTGGAGCTTCCTAAACCGGTTTCTCTTTCCAACTCGTCGTGTGAAATGCACCAGGCAGATTATTTTGCGATACCCACTGTACAATTGCGTATATATAGAGGCTCCGAGATCACCTCCGTACGTTAAGTTAGTCTCTATTTCTGATTGTGGTGCATCCGCTTTTCAAAATGAATCTGGGCCTATTTGCTTTTCTTTTCCTGACTCTGAGCTTGACGGTCAGTGCCCAATACTCCTACAATTATGGACAGACGGGAGCACTTCAGTATCCTCAGAATATAGCCGGACAGAGGCCGTATCAGCAGCAGCAGCAGCGGCCATTCCAGCAAAGTAACGCCTATCAGCCGCAGGTTAGACCCCCAGCACGACCCCAGAAGCCCCAACGCCCCCCAGTGGGCACTTTTATCGGTGCACCTGATAGAAATTCTTGTCCGCCCGGCGAGACTTTTGACAACCGCAAAAATAAATGCAGACCATCGTTTGATTGAATTGATCACTTAAGTTTTTATTGTGTTTGTTTTTTTTCCATTTCAATTTTTAACTGGACCATGAGTTTTTACAATTATTGTATCACAAAATGAATTAAATTGTTCTTCATTATTGTTCAAATAAGCAGAAATAGTCAATCATCTTTGTAATAATTCAGAAATAAAAATGAATTCCACATATTTTCTTGTGTGTCTCTATTCAAATCATTATAATATAACTGTATAATCGTTTATTCAGATTATAAATTAAATAACTGAGGAAAGTGTATAGACTTACGTATTAAATATAATAACAGAGAAGTTGAACAAAAAAAATAATAATAAATAGAATTGGGTGATGCCTTCTGCACTACCGATAAAGGGCACAAGGCGACAAGACTTTGTCTTGGCCGGACCTTAATAAAAATAATAATAAAAAATGAATTTTTTTTTTATTACCATTATTTTAATTTAAAAAAAAAATTGGTTATCGTTTTATCGCTCATTATGTGATATTTATAAAATATTTTAAACTTAGTATCAAAGTTTATGAGGATTAAAAAAAAATGTTTCGAAAATAGCTTTTCTGTGTCAGGATATATGGTAGTTGTATCTATTTATTCATTCTTGGTATTAATAAAATTCATAAAAATCATCCGAAATATATTCTTGGAAAAGTATAACTTTAAGGAAGTGTTTTCCACATTATTCATTCAAAAGATATAATCTGGCTATTATTGAATTGAATTCTTTTGTTATTTGTTTTGAAATAATATTTACACATCAGTTGCTATCTAAACTTTCATTTGTATATTGGAAAATATCCGTATCGACTATGAGGTGACCTGCTTTAAATGAACAGGTGAATAAATACATTAAGATTATTGTGCTAATTTTGATGCAAACTGGTTTTAAACCCTGTCTCAGGATTTGATAACGGGCAAGATGAGCTATAGGTAGCAGTAAAATAATGAGGTATAAAAGCGAAGAAGGCACTTTGGCAGGCACAGTTGTTTTTGTTCGCTCCGCGCGTTGTTGTGTCCGGCCCAGAAATGAATCTAGGTCTTTTCTCTCTGCTCTTCCTAACTCTCTGCTGGTCGATCAGTGCCCAGGTTTATCAGAATCCAGCAGGACAGCGGCCTTACGTGCAGAACAACTATCAGCAATACCAGCAACGGCAGCCGGTCGTCCAGCAGCAGCAAAACAGAAACCCTGCACGACCTCCAAACCCGAAGCCTCAAAAACCACCCGTGACCACTATTTTTACATCCCCCAATAGGGACCAATTTGGCTGCCTGCCGGATGAGACCTACGACCAACGCACTGGATCTTGTAGGCCCAAACTGGGATGAGTTGAGAAGGCATAAAACTTTTCCAGCAGCTTGATATTTTATTTATATTAATATTAAAATAAACTATGTTTTAATAACTAGCATGATACTCTTTTATTTTGTGTTTAATTTTAATTTTTCTATTTTGTATGCATAGGAGGACGAGGAGACACGCAATTAAATCGCGTTTAAAAATAATAAAATTGTCTTTCGTGAAAAATTTATATTAAAATAAAAAATAAAGCTTTGCTGTAATTATGAGCAATAAAAAATATCCGCGATATAAGAAGTAAGTGAAAATATTTTGTTAACAAGTATTTATAGAAAGACTGTTAGTGTTAGTTAACACAATTTTTAAATAATTCTTTTGCTCGTTCTGATTAATAATGGCAAAAAGTATTTATTAATGCTTGCAATAAAATTAAAAAAAAAAAATGTTTGATCAATGAACTGTTTCTGCATGTTTAAAGATTTACTCATCAAACAAATTTTAAGAGGGGTCAGGTTGGTTGGGAAGCACAAATGTGTTAAGGGTTCTTGACTTTGGCAAGAGACCGACCTAATAGCCTAATAAGCTCTCTGGTGCCATAGAAAAGAGAAAAATTTTAACTGCACATACATGCCACAGCACTGAAAATTGAGTTGTGATTTTAATATATATTAATTTTATTCATCTCTGCTTGCATTAATCGTTATCAGTAAATTGAATGAAATAAATAAAATTAAATATAATACAAACATTCTGGTTATGAACCAAAATCCAAAGGAAGTCCAGTTCTGCCTATACCGTCATGCTCTTCTTACTGCGATCGAGATAAGGGAAATCCCCGAGACCGCACATATTTGCATACAATATGAGCAATTGTATTTAATGCCAGTAGGCACTCGACTTCTTTAACAGTCGCTCCTCACCTTTATTTGCGCCAAGCACTCTACTTGCAACATGAAGTGTCGTGCTCTCATCGTCTGCGCATTAATTTGCCTGCTAGTGGTGGCGTCCGTGTCGGCTAGTGGACGAAGTAAAGGTCGTCGGAAGGGCGGACGGCAGCAAGTGGTCACCACAACTAGGCGCCCACCAGCACAACGGACAACGCAGACGATTGTCAACCTTTTTGACAGTCCGTCACGAGGTGGAAAATCGTGTCCGTTTGGCCAAGTTTGGGATGCGAGGCGTGGGCAGTGTAGGAATTCTGTCAACGCTGGCAATACTATGATTGCTTGAATTAAATATTCTGATTGTGACTAAAAAGATTAGTGTTTATATTTCTTTTTTGAGTCTCATTAGAAAAAAGTTACAAAATAAATTTTGTTCAATTTGGCAATGGCAATACAAAAGAAAATAAAAATATAATAAAAAAAATGAAAATCGTTTGACTTTTGTGGAAAAATAAAATTTGTTTCTCTTGGCGTCAGAACCAATATAAAAAAGCTAGTCGGTCGGGATATTCCTACTACTGGCATGCAGAAATATAAAAGCCAAAGCGTTTCCGCTAAAGCCTCTCAGTTGATCTATTTCTTTTCATGGTGGCATGAAATGTCTGAAAATGAATCCCGGATTGTTCGCTTTGCTCTTTCTTGCTCTCTGCTGGTCGATCAGCGCCCAGAACTACAGACAGACCGGCGCATATGTGAATCCAGCAGGACAGCAGAGGTCATACGTGAACAATCATCAGCAGCAACGGTCGGTAGTATGGGTGGTACCATCCCTGCAAAACACACCATACCATCATGAGGTCAGACCTCCAACACGACCTCAAACACCACAGAAACCTAAACCCAATAAACCTGGACTTGGATTTATATTTGACGCGGAGAAGAGAGATCGTTGCCAGTCCAAAGGGATTTTTGATGAACGCACCAATCGGTGCAGACTCATTTTTGCACGTTGAGTGTCACAGTGTAGCATAACAATTTATGTAAAGTGGCCCTACATGTGTGCCTGTTTTCCAATACTAATTTTTTTTTAAGTATTATTATATAGCAAATAGAGCGATTTTGTAGTCCTACATTGTTTGCGTACTAGGGGAGAAATAAAAATTTTATTGGATAACCATAAAAGTTAGTAAAACTCTTAAAAAATTAATAAATTGCTAGTTTATTTTGCTTCTTTTGGTCCGGCCTTTTAACATTATTTTGGGACTTCAATGCCTTTTATATCTGTGCATGAATTCTATGGATTTAGTATATTTTTTTCGCTCCTTATTTTCCCTAAAATTTAAATGACAAAAAATATGAAAATTGAATAAAATTTACATATTTATTTTTCTCCACAAATCTTATAATAATAAATATAAAATTAATTTGAAAGCACTAAACCATCAAATTTTAAAACCTAAAATTGAATACTTCTCCTGATTCCTGATTCGCATTTTAAACTTTCTACACTCTTGATCCTACTTCATGATTTATAATTAAAATTGTAGGAAAACGGCGCATGCTAGAGGTGTTGTGCAAAATTTGCGCAGTTTCAGTGCCGATGCGTGTTTGCTGAACATCACTTCTTGGCTGGACAATGACTGCTCAAACAACGTCAAGCTCCATTCTTTGTCAAATCACATATTGCGTCTATTTAATTTTCATGAAAGGGTGGTGACGTCACCACCAAGGTTGATAGCCGCCCGTGTCGCTCAGTCTTTGTGGGCATCAAGGCGTGAAAGGAAGCGGTCGGAGATGCAGACAGTTCTACTCGTGTTGATCTTAATTGGCACAATGTGCCACGCAAATAATAATGAGAATAGGCCACCAGTTGATCCAAATTTAGAGCCGACGTTCATTGTGAACGCGCCCGACCGAGAGTGTCCGGGGGTGTCCCGGAAATGCAACGAGGGTCATGTCTTCGATGAGAGGAGCTGCAAATGCAGGCCTACTTTTGGTAATATTTTTTTATTGATTTACTGGATCTAATGTTTAGAAATAATTGTAATCATGAAGGAATGTAAAAAATTTATTCGATATAATAGGAACTTTAAATACATCTCGATGCAAAGAAAGGCGCCATAATTAGTTTTTATAACGCTGCGTTTCAATAAGGGTGCGGGAGACAAGAAATAACTGAAACATGAAGAATAAAGTATATTAAAATTTAGCCAAAGCAAAATGTAGTTAATAATATCATATTCATTTTACAAATTTATAACGATTTGAGGAAAAATTGAATAGATATACAATAAATGACATATATATTATGATTTTTGAACAAAATAAACCAAATTTATATTTGTTTTCAATACATATTTGAATAATGTTAAAAAATTATTGAAACTGATATTTCTGTGTTTTATTTTTAAAATTTCATTTATATTATTTATAATTAAGTTGATCCATTAACAAAATTTAAAATTCGTAACCCACCAAATTACGCACCTGTTCATCCTATCAAAGGGTACTTGCATTCACCTCGGATGATATACTGTCCTCTTGGGCACAAAGGCTCGTAGATTCGCATGGCTCGCATCAGCACTTGCAAATCGTGGTCTGGCTCCTCCGTGGGCTCCTGTCCGCTCACCGTCTGGAAGGCCATGACGAAAATTGCAAGCAGCAGCACGGTGGCGCACAGATGGTATCTCATTGTGTCTGCAGTGGTCCGAGGAGCAAATGCGACTGGCAGCACTTTTAACAAGAGGCAAAGCTCATTCAGGTCGCACTCGACTGCCCCGGGCATGCAAATTAACCTTGCAAGGAGTCGTTCAATTCCTCTTCCTTTGCTGCGACCTTGCTCTGGGAGCAGCGTGCCGGACACGCGCCCATTGTAAATCACATAGATTTGTCACACAGCAGCAACGCAGTTAATTTGCAATGCGCCTTCTCATTTTTTTCACCTTTGTTATTGCTTATTTTTTCCTTTTCTATGTAATATTTGCTACATAGTCTTTAAATCTTATATTTTTTATTAAATTTTTTAATAAAAATTCATGCTACAATATTGCCGAAAATAAACTTTTTTTAAATCTTTCATAGGCCAAAACGCGATTAGCCCGTGGCTCTATTTTGATCAGCTCATTGTTATTAATGCCAAAAAAACGTTGGTCTCCTCATTCTGCTCATTGCTCCTCATGCAGAAACTTCTGTAATTTTTGTGGTTGAATTTCAAATCACCATTCTATAATTAATTGTTTAGTTTTGAGAATGTTTATTATACATATACTATTGTTGCATCAATGGCAGGGAGATGAGAAAATATGAATTCATTTATTTATTTTCAAGAGAGTTAATAATATATTATATGTGTTAATTTTTTTTATTTCTTTGTTTCAGGTTGACTAATAACAAAATCGCAGGTTCCTTATATCTCATATATCAACTAGTAAATATATTAATGATTATTATATACATAAAAAGTTTGTCATCATTGTCGTCAATAAAATCAAGTGTTTATTGCACCCAAACATCAACGTTATTTGGCGATCTTATGTGAATATAATAAATATTTTGACAATTTATTTGTTCCAATTATTTCAATTGCTTGCTCCAGTACAGTTAATTAGTACTTCTAAAACATATTTTAATAAAACAACAAGCTCTATAAAACGTTAGGTGCTGACCCAGGTATAATGACCGGATCTTTCATCAATAGATTACAATTTTGTTGACCTTTTGTTAAGAAAAATTGATTTTAGTATATTAAATTATTTTTAATTGGACAGAGTCTTATTGGTCCTTTTTGATGGTGCAAAAGGTATCAACTTTACTTTAAAAAAATTTCTATCTCTTGCAACAAAATTCCCACTTATGGGGGTTTCCTCCACTCTCCCCACACTTCAAAGTCAGTTCAATTTCCTCATTGTCAGTGTCAACATGAAGCGACGTTGGTTTTCGTCCATCCGCTCCGAGTTACTCTTGCTGATACTTTTCGTTGTATTGTTCAGCATGCTTACTTTAGCGTGGGCCGAGGAGCAAGATGAAGATTATTTTGATGACAATGAAAATCGGCTGACTGGATTTGTTGTTGCAGGCAGATTTCCAAAAAGACTTCAATCACGAGATGATTTTTGCGAAGAAGGTTTTAAGTGGTTCAGGTGGAGATGCTTCAAAATTATTCAATAGGCAAGGAATATTGCATTCAACAAATTTGTGCGTTTATGAAGAAATCCAAATTCACTAGTGGTTCAAATTGAACGCTTTGTCCTTTAAAATTATTTTTTTTTCAAGAGTTCAATTTTTACTTTTATTTGTTGCAGGTTGACCAGAAAAACAATACCTTCTTGAAACGTATCAACATAATTGATTTAAATATTTTTCATTAATGAAACGAAATTCCTCAAAATAATGCGCCACTAGTTAGAGACTATTATAATTTTTATAAAAATAATACTTTGTTTTAAAAATTTTCTCACTTGGTTGCTCTATTACAAACTACCATTCATCAGGCTTGTATTGTTCTCGTCTTAAAAATTGTTAATACAAATTTGTTTGTGAAATAAAATGAAATTAAATCAACTTGATTCAAACACCAGGGCAATTATTAGCATAGGATAATTATCATGCAGTTCCATTTTGCTTTCTTTGTACCTTGGCACATATTTAATATGCTAAAATTATAAATTTATTGTTATTTAATTATACAAGGAATATGAAATCCACACCAATGACGTCATTAGATTACAAGATGAAAAACGTTAAAGTTAAAGATAATACTTGCATATGTTATTGAGCCTGCATTATATGAAAAGCATTTTATGTATACATATATAGATAACGTTAGCAGCTTGTATCGTGTTTGAAAGTTTTAAATCATTTTTCTTTTCTGCAAGTAAAACAAGTGATTGCATGACAGTGTTTTGAATTTTGAACGCAGTAGGGATATCTCGGTGAACCGCAAGACAGGGAGTTTTCTTTTCCGTTCCATAAACGAAATAGCATTTATAGGTTAAGGAGCTTTACTTTAAAGAGAAATAATGGGCGTCAAGTGGGATTTTACGGCTATTTTCTTAATTCTTATTGTTGCAATTCCAAGCAACATGGGTCAAGGTTCAGAATCTTCAGTCGATTCTAACGTCGTAAATTCAGAGGAGGAGGAGGAAGTTATTGAAATTGAATCAGGTGACTATTTTATTTATTAGTATTTTCATTGCTTGTGATTAATATTAAAACATTAATTAATTTACTTGACTAGTTTTTGACCCTCCTCCACGGCCCAACATACCCTGCAAAAGTGGCGAGACTTTTGACAATAGAATTGGACGATGCAGGCTGGCCATAGACACAGACACAGGTGCTCTTAAAAATTAATTTTGTAGCCTCAATATAAAATTGTAAAAACATTAAAGTATTTACAGAGTGCTTGGTGGTTTTTAATATTTAAATCTTAATATTAAATAAAACAGCACAAAATTTAATAATACTGGTTATCAATCTTAATGATTTAAAATAAAATAAAATTTAAAAATACTGTCAAATATGAAGAATTTTATTTCATAAATGAAAATACTCTACTGGGATTCAATTATATTCTTGCTCTTCTTACTCTTTATTTTACTGTCAAGTTTAATTTCATGAAAAATAATTTGTTACCTTCTGTTTGAAATATCATACTTAAAGAAAATGTTTACAAAATACCATTATGTTAAGCAGTCCCAGCAAGCATTATAACTGGCCCCAATCGTCAATGCTCAGATGGGCAAGTCTACGACCCGCGAACAGACTCATGCCGAGAAAGTGCTGAAGAAAAAGCAGGTTTAAAAATTAATTAATATTTTACCATCCTCATAGAAGCTACTTTAAATATAAGTTTTCAGATAATTTATTTTTCAGAAGTTTTGAATATTCATCTTTGAATGGGATTAATTACATTTTCGCAAAATTAACTTTAAATAATAATTAAAATTAAACTTTCGAGCTACTTTTAAATTTAAAATCGATCACTTTTTAAACAATTATTTTAATGAGTTAAATACTACTAAACCGAGATTCAATTCTATGCAGCTGTAATCTTTATTTCCAGCAATGGCCCCATTAGATTATAAGGCCATTGGATGATTTGTTTCAATTTATCGTCAAGTTTAATTTTTTTTTTTTAAGCTACATACCATAAATATTATGCTTTAAAGGTCGTCAGAAACAAGGAATCATAATAACTGCCCCCGACCGCCAATGCCCAGATGGACAAGTTAATGATCCGCGAACTAAAACTTGCCGAGAAAAGTTGGAAGAAGCAGGTTTGAATTTTTTTTTAAATATATAAAAAATTATTTAAAATATCAACTACTTTACAGAAGAGGTGATTGGAATAGAAATGGTAAATAAAGTCGTGGTAGATTCTCCATCACGGGATTCCAAGTCATTAAAATGCCCTAATGGCGAGGTATGGAATGAAAGATCAGGATCGTGCCGGAAAATAGTTGGCGGCGTCGGCTCAAATGGTAAAAAATAAATAGGCATCTTTTAAGGATTCAGTTAAAACTTCTTTTCATTTTAGGTGGAGAGCTGTAGAATACTTCACTTGTATTAATTTCAAATAGAACGTTGTTTGTCGTTTTGAGAAGATACAATCTTCTAGTATGTTTTTTTTTTTTTATTAGGGTCAGGCCAAGACAAAGTCTTGTCGGCCTGTGCCCTTTATTGGTGGTACAGAAGGCACCACCCAATTAATTTTTTATTTTTATTTTTGGGTTCAACTTTATTTAAAAAATCATCATTTTTTGCTGGCATATCCTTAATTTTGGTCCACGCGATGATGTTGTTTCAAATTTCTAATTATAACAAAATTCTTTGTATTTTCTTCAATGTAGAATGTAGTTTTACCCTACATAGGGTTCATTAAAGAAAAAAACTGCAATTCAATTTTTATACTAAATTTTATTGCTTATTGGCTAGCTATTGTTATAAAATAAAATAAATTTAGTGTTAATATAAACATTATAATCATATTTGGTATAAAAATAATTTAAATAAAATTAAGAAAAATAAATATAATTCTATACTCAATTTTTTTGCAGGAGGGTAAAATAAAAATAATCAATGAGAATTGTCCATATTTAGGACATACACGTGACTAATAAAGCGAGTTGTCTTTTTTTTTACTGAAAAATATTATGCGCATTTTGTTTTCACTTTCAAATTATCACCACACTTCCTGCGTGAATCCCAGCATTATATTATTATTTCCTGTGTTTTTATACAAATGACAGTTTGTATCAAAAGATGGCTAGGGTCGTTCTCATCTTTGCGCTCCTTTTTACTACGATGGCCGGACTAAATGCTGACCCACTTTTCGCACCTCTTTTTCGACTCGGCTGGGGAAACTACAGGAGACTTGACTTGGATTCACCTTATTATGCGAGGAAAAACTGTCCCGGTGGCTACCAAACCGACTTATTTGGCAAATGCCGCAGAATTTTGGAATGTGAGTCACTCTTCATCTTCTAGAAAATAATACAGGATCTGAAAATTCTAATTCTAGGGTGAAGTTGGGAAAGGATCGAAATGAGACTCCAATATGTTGCAACGGTGTAATTTAAAAAAAAAAGATAATAAGCTCTTTTAGTTCTTTTTGTTTCTTTTATAATTTACAAGTGTTTATAAATCAATTAATTTTTTATCTCTATAAATAAACCCTACAATGTAAAATGTGTTACAATAATAATTTTTTTTTTGGCCAGAGAAATAATTTTTCCATGATCTGTGCATTTGATCGCCAATTTAAAATGCACCTAGGATACAGGAAAAGCCGCCCAGAGTGTTGAAAACGGGCGTCAAAAATTTATTTCGATCAGTTCCTGTCAAACGAAGGTCGCGGAACCAGTTTTGTCGAGATCATGTGCGGCGCGTCTCGGCAGGGATAAGCGCCAGTCTGCCCTCACCTATGGGTCAGGCAACTCAGGTGCAGGTGTGGTGCCTGCTGCTGGTGGGCCTCGCAGTGGCCGCCGCAGCCCTTCTGCACTCAGCCTGCCTCTTCCTCCCTTGCAGACAGCAACCCCCTGAGACTGAGGCGGGTGTGGCTGTTGGGGTGAGCACGAGGGCGGCTTTTGCACACAGGGCGAAGGGCATGCGCAGGGCAGAAAACCACCCAAAAGTCAGGGTCATCTGCAGAAAACCTTTGGTGGAGTTTGCTGGATCGTGCCAGTTGCCAATTTTTGTTAGTTCTGGTATGTATTTTGAAATTAATTTTATATTTAAAAAAAAATCAGCCTTGTATTTCAATTTTAAATTTTTAAATGAAAATATTAAAGAGATGCGTACTTAAATTATAGGTGAGAGAGTCCTGGAGAATCAACCATAAGAAGAAGAAAATTAAAATTTATATTATATTATATCAATTTTAATTCCTTTTTTCTTTCGGTTGATTCTCTCGGACTCTCTCACCTATAATAGCCTCTCTACATTGCAGAGAGAAACTTGCGGAAGGAGGCGATTGACCTCAGCAATTTAATCATCAAGACTGTGAAGAACAGACGTAACAAAACATCCTTCAACTTAGTCATGGAAGATGTTCACCACCACGTTCCTCATAATTTCAAACCAAAGGTTTGACTGTAGAATAATTTTCTAGGCCCAAAAGCTCATTTGATTTTATCCCGTTATAAAATGAAAAGAAAATTTGAAATTAATTTACATCTTTAATGCAAAGATGCCCAAAATAAAATGATTGTCATTCTCTTTATTTATAAGCTCGTAAAATTCAAAACGCTGTATATTAAAATCTATGATTAAAATATAAAGATAATTGTAATAAATGGCGTCTTGTTACTTGTTATTTCCATTATATTTTTCTCTAGTTCAAAAAAGTTTCAAAGGAGAATGCCTGGGAATTTTTAAAAAAAAATCAAATCGGTTTAAAAAAATCCAATTTTTACAATAATTTTGTTTCCTCCGTAGCATACAAAATGTGAGGATATATGGTTAAAAAAGATTAAGTATATATCATAGTTATTCATAATTATGGCAATCAGACTGACCATTGTTGTTAAGAAATAAATTTTTATAGAATGCTTGTTTAATCTTGGGCGGAAATATTTGATGAAGTCAAAAAATATTTCCCCAAAAAAGATTATACACCACAGTCCCGCCAGGCTCACGGCTCAGCCACATCCCCAGAAAAGCTCTACGTAAAAGCTTTTTAATAATTTGGTAACACAAGTGTCAAGTATTAGTCTTGGATCGTTCGCACCGCCTAACAGAATTAATGGCGATCATCATGTCAGCAAAGTACCTGCTTTTGATTTGCCTCATTCTTTCAACCTTTCTTATTGGAATTGGGACACCATTATTCAGACCCAAAAAACGTCGATTACAAGTAATTACCGCGCCAAGGAGAAATTCCTGTCAACCCAACCAGATCTTTGACGAACGGACCCAAAGGTGCAGAAATCAATTTGAACTTCAGTAGAAAGTGAAAAATCCCAGTTTCTTTTGTTTGACAGTAAAACTGTATTTCGGAGATCAAATAAAATATAACCAAAATATCTTGTAGAATTTTATTAAAAACAAATAAATTATTATCTTGATACGCTATTTTTTTAAGAAAATTTAGTTCAAATAAAAATTAATTCAACAGCAGCAGGTTTAATAGTTTAATACAACATATTTCATATTTTTATATAGCGAATATGACTCCTTAGATTAGAGTTACATTATCTCTTTCTTTTCCTAAAATACATGCTGGTAAAATGAATTACCACCAATTAATGAGCGCATATTTTTGGAAGAATAGAAAAATGGTGTGAAAATATAAAATTATTCCATATCTCTCGTTCAAACTTCAAATTTTAAGGAGAAACTTGTTTGTAGTTTCCCCGTCCTAATGCCAAATTCATGAAAATTTCCGTGTGTCTTTTGCGGAGCTTTCCTTATTAAACTCAACAGCGGCAGTAAAAATTATTATGTAGTTAAGTTTGTAATGCACGTTTCTAGTTTGCATGCAATTTGAAGAATTGAACCGAAAATATTATAGACACATGAATCACATAAATGAACAAAATATTTTTACGTGATACCAAATTGTATGATTGTGCTTTTTTAAATTTTTGTATAATCATCACTAAAATTAGCTTTGTTTCAGAAATATCCTGTAAGGCAATCCTTGATAATGTTGTCAAAAACTTTTGCCCTAAAAATGGTCTTGGCAACCACATCCCCCGCAAAAGACCTTCAATTTTGCTATATAAATTTTTAACCGCACAATTCAACTCTTAAAACTGTCCCATCGCCTAATAGAGAGTGATCATTGGCAATTATCATGTCTGTAAAGTATCTGCTTTTGATGTGCTTGTTTCTAGCAACAGTCCTTTTTGGATTTGTGACACCTTTGAGGTTCAAACCCCCCAGGAGAACTGGCGTTGATGCACCATTGAGAATTCTCTGCCCACCCAACCAAATTTTTGACCAGCGGACTCGAAGGTGCAGACAACAAATTTCAACTTCAGTAGCAGAGAAATAATTCAAATGATTTTGTTTTGTTTGACAATGCATAGGGCTGTAAAACTGTATTTTGGTGATGTAATAAAATGTAGGAAAACAATAAGTTTTTATTGAAAACATAAAAAAATAATTATGTAAAGATGTGTTAAGAAAATGCAAAGCTTAACATTTTAATTAATTTTTATGTTTGACGATATAAGATGTTGTGTATTTCAATGTATTGCTTGAAAAATAAAAATAAATTAAAATAAATTAATCTACAATTTTATTACAAACGCGGCGACTGAGTCTCTTTTAATGTCGAGCGTTTTAGCCAACTTCTGCATAGTTGTTATAAACTTTTTCTTCCCGATTTTACAGTTCAATTTTTAGGTATTGACCGAGAAAAATAAATAATAAAAACAATTTAATTACACAGTCCGTAAAAATAATGAATTTTAGACAATTTTCTAGCACGAGTAAAATTTGGATGAATTTTGAAACAAGAATAGCAGCTAAAATCATGCACGGGTTAGTGATACCTGTAGCGTAATACCTCAAATATTATAATACATAGTTGATGCTGCTCTAAATCTGGCTATATAGATCCTCATACGCAATGATGCAGACATACAACAGAACTACTCGATTTTCAGTGAAATAATCATAAGTTACTGCTTTATTTGTCACTTTCATTGTGTGCGCGTGATTAAATCGGTGTTATTTGAAGATAAAATGTGGGAATAATATGTTTTGTGGAGTTTTATTAACACAAGTTGTACATTTCAGATAACAACTTAAGCTATTTTAAGAAATACAAGTTCCAGAATTTTTAAGGTCAATATAGTTTAAATATAAATGGAAATTAACTATTTCTTGGTCCTTACTAAGCTCAAAGCCTTCCTTAAAAATAATTATTTGATCAAAAACCTAGGATGGCATGGGGTGACATAAACTAAATAAAAAATTTTGAACATATTTTATCCGTTAATTCTCACACAAAGATTCATATTTTTATAGTTTGAGATTTAGAAATGATACCATACAATTTTGTTTGTAACTCATGGCGCTTTCTTATTTGTCTTAAAGGAACTGCTGTGCTCTATCATTTTGGCAGCAAAAGAAAACAATTAGTTCAGGATGTCATTTAGAGATTGGATATTTTGTTAAAATTTCCAGCAAAATTTATAAAATTATAACAAGGTCTTTGATTTTTAATGGCACTGCAAATATTAATCCGCTTAACAATTAAATCTATATAAAAATATAGATCTCATTTTTCCTCTCAACGCAGAACGTCAATATCTGAGATAATTTTTTTTCATTACCTTATGAACACAGCAAATTAATTTCAAATGACAATTTTTATTAGATATTAGTACTTGAGCATTCCATTAACATGCAATTCTATTCCCCCACCCTGCTCCACCCAACAATTCTGACCACATCCTTTGCAAAATTGCCTTGAGTTTCTTTGATTACACTCACAAGCACACAATAAAATATAGAACTTTAATCTTCCAGTCATCACTAGTATCATCATGTCAGAAAAATTCCTGCTATTCATATTTTTTTGCCGCCGTGCTAATAGGATTTGCATCAACTCTAAAGTCTAACCTTGGCAACGGTGCTAATGTTGCTGTCGCACCAGAAAGAATCTGTCCACCCCACGAAGTATTTGACAAGCGTACTCAAAGGTGCAGATTCTCACTTAACGCGGAGTGGTAACAATCTTTATGTCTGGCAATTAAGTTTGTGATTTTAGAGTTCATAACTGAATGAATATAACATAAGAAATTGCACAATATAAATTCAGGGACTTTCATTTATAACAGCGTTCATCTCCTGATTGATTTTCAGTTATGTACACAACTTAAAAAAAAACTTTCTTCCACTTTCTCCTTTTATTTCTAAATTAAAAAGAGCATAGAGCAGCTATACTTGATTTGAAATATATTTTTACTTGTTAAAAGTTTTAGCGTTCAGTTTTGATTGAATTGCTTTGAATAAAATTCACCTTAAGTCTTCATAATAAATTCAAATATACATCAAACAAGTGTGGCATTTAGAAAAAAGTTTTCTTACTTGCAATTATGGACCCGCAGTTTAAAAAGAGTGGTGAACCCTTCACCGCATATGGAACACTTAAACCTGGTATTTGCATGGTTGGAGGCAATGTGGAATTTTAGTTTCAGGGGCGACAACTCCTGTTTCATGCAGAAATTGCAGGTCAGTTTGAGCTGGGCAGTCTGCATCTCTTCCATGTGGTAAAACTGGCAGTGAGCATCGAGAAAGCGTTTGCTTTCAAAATTCTTCCTGTGGCAAAACTTGCACTTGAGCAAGTCGTCTCTGTGCAACCTCTTCAAATGTCTCCTCATCAAAGATCTGCTTTTATAAGATTTGCTGAAATTGAAAAATATTATAGATTGAAGTTTTTTTAATAAAATTTTAACTCACAAGCACACACTGCACTCGTAGTTTTTATCATTTTCCTTGTCTTTGACAGGCAGAGGCTCGAGGTCATCCTCTTCAGACGAGCTGCTCATTTCTTCGTCTTCCTCGTCTGACGGAATTTTGTTCAGCACAACATAGCACGGTTTCAAGTCTAGTTGATTTTCTGTATCACAATCTGTGGAACATTTGGTTGGTGTGGAGTAGAGTTGTTTGGCTTCATCCTCTTCTCCAGATTCGTCTTCGTCGTGGGAAAAATTTGGGGATCCAAGAGGATCCTCCAGTTTGGACCACCAGTCTTGGTTTGAGCTTTTTCTTGCCGAGATTGTGCCTAAGAGTTTTGCATTTCGAACGCAGTTCCAGCACACCTGATGATTTAAGGCAAGGTCTAGGCTTCGACCCGTGTTTTCCAAAGCCCAGTTTTTCAGCTTGGACTGGTCCACTGTTCGGAGAGAGACGCATTCGGACTCTTCCATTCGACAGCGGCACAAAAGACAGGAAATCTGAAATTGAAAAGAAAAAATTAGAACATTTTTTTATTTTCTTTTACAAAGTTTGACAAGCTGAATTGTAAGACAACAAAAAATTTTAATACATAAAATGATTTAAATAACCCATTAATAAATCAACGAAGATCTCGCTTATGTACTTGAATAATTTAAAAAAAAAAAAATAAGAGCACTAAAATTCACCATGTTTTTCAAAGGTCCACAGTAAGATTCGTTCATTTTTGCAAGTTAAAAAATTGATTTCAAAAATCGACAACAACTGCAATTATAGGTAGGCCTGTGCTCGTCTTCATTGTTGAGGATCGTGAACTGCATGGCAGCAACAATGACGTTTGTTTTTGTTTGCTGTTACAGGTTTTAAATTTACACAAGAACACGCTGGATCTTGTTTTGTTTTCCTCGCCCAACAAGATCCTCACCCTCACACCCCTCACATCACATTCCTTACAGGCCCTCTAGTGTCTAAAGTCTCAGCCAGTCGGTGGTTCGCGCGAATCACACAGGTGGCTATACTGAGAGGTTTTGATTCGTTATTATTAATTTTCATTTATTTTTCATATTTTTCTTTCAATATTTGTAATTTTGTATACAACGTTTTTTATTATTATTAATATTGTAGCTAAACATTGCTGATCAAAATTGTCAGCAATTTAAAATTTTTCTATTTCTATGTAATATTATTATTAAAGATTTTAATTCTAAAATTATAACCTAACAATAATTCAATAAAATAATATTTAATGTTCAATATACAGATTGTTATAAAAAAAAAAAAATTTAATGTGATTCTATATATTGATGCAATGGGCATCAAAAAGTTATAAAACATAAATTTTTTCGAAAGGTTTAATTGTAAATATTCCTGAAAAGATCATTTGTAAGAAGACAAGTGTAAGTGTGTCAAATTAAAATACGCCAAAAAATAATATCTAATAATTTATTCCGATTTATTCATTTTTAAGCAAATTGAAGCAAACAAAGATATTTATTGAAAATTTAATGCTTTTTGATAATTTTTTTCTTAGACAATTTTTTTTATTTAAAACACTAGCGGATACAAAAATTAATGGCTAAATTTATTTCAAAACGCGTACAGAATTAAATATATTGCACGGCCACTAATTATTTCACGTGTGCATGAAATATAATCATCATATTATTTAAAACTTATAAATTTGGGCTAATATAGCTAGAAATTCAGCCAATGTGGTAAAAGGGTTGCTCGCATATGACATGATTTTTATCAGTGCACGGCTCATCATAAAGGGCCCCGTCGTACACGTAAACGCAGCTGTCTTTTCCAAAACCAAACTCGTCCGGCTGCCCAAGTCTCCACATGCTGGGGCTGATTTTCTGCCCATTGGCCCAGTGAAATTCGCCGGGCTGATGACCATAATAGCTGCCCGAAGTCCAAGGGCCCCATACTGAAAACTCGTTTATTTGGTGGACAAAAAAAAATACAATTTTGTTACCAGTGGAGGAAGCGGCGTTCCAAAACGACGAAAGTTTGTTTTTGGTTTCAAAAGACGCGAGTTCTAGGCCGAGCGATTTGCACAGTGCTTGCGCCTCTTTCCAGGAGTAGCGCTTCATATTATAAAGTTTAATTAGCAATTTTTTAGTTATCATAAAAAATAAATACAAACTTGTTGTTTATCGTAATAATAAGTTCCAGATGTAAGGTTCATTAACTGCAGACCATTAATGATTGGATTGGTCAAATTATATTTCAGCTGTTTTGGAAAAATTAAAATTATTATTGTTCCGAGAGGCAAAAATTTAATTCTGGATACCCTTTCAGTGAGTAAATCGGCAACCTTTTTTTCGCACTTGCGCAGCTCCTGGACCACATCAGAAAAGTCCTGATAATATTTGTTTATAAATTTCAAATTTTTCAAAGCACACAAAATTAAAACCTCTGCAGCGACAGGATTTGGCGGTATTACAGGAGGAGGACTTGTAGTTCCGGTCAGTTTTGACAACTGGCACTCGAATTTATCCTTTTCGCACTTCTGACGTTCAGCCTTTTCAATTTCCTTTTCCTTGTGAGAGACAAAATAAGATAAGGCGCGTTAAAAAAAAAAATTGTGTAATTTTTTGTGACTTATACTTTTTCGCACTGCATCATTTGCGCCTTCATCACTTCGTTCTCAACTTTCAGCTTGTCATTTTCCATCTGCAATTTTTTCTTTTCCATTTCCTGCTTTTCCGCTTGCTTTTCCGCCATCTCCTTGCTCTCGTCGCACTGCTTTTGCAGTTGCTTGGCCGTCTCATTAAAAACTTTCAGAATCAGCTCATTGTTATTCAAGCAGGAGTCCAACTTATCACTCAACTCATCGCACCTCTGGATTAATAAATATGAGAGAGATAGAAAGAAAAATTATTTGCTAGAAAGTAATAAATATTAAAAATGATCCAACGAGAAATTGAAATATGAATATGTAAAGCGGTTTTAAAACTTACACTAGGAAAATCTGTCTGTGCCAACGATTTTGCAAAGAAAAGGACGAACACAACTGCGCAGCTCCACATCTTTGAAGGATTTGAGAAATTTCTTGTCGGCAGGTGAATTCACGCCTCAATTTGCAACCATAAAATTGAAGGACTGCATATCCCAGTGAATTTCCCCATCTTCTTTTTTTTTCAGTGGCACATTTAGAAAGAAAAATTAAAAAAAAAACGATTGCCTCTTAAATTCAATTCATGGGTAAAATTAAAGTTCCACGTTCAAAAATAATTTAATTAAATTTTATACAGATTAAAAAAGCATCAACTTTATCTGATAAACATATATCTTAGCATATTTTTCTCTTGTAAAAATATTCTTCTTGACTTTGAGTGCCACTGATGTTGATTGCAGTCATTTCCATGACACCGCAAAGAAGATGTATCAAAGTCACGTCCACTGAAATTGCGATGTGCCTTAAATATCCTGCCATCCTATCATTACTTTTTCGCTGCGCCTCGAGGAGTGCATTTTTTTAATACCAATTTCACCGTCAAAATTTCTCTCTCAACCAGAAACATCAGAGATTTAAAAAAAAATTCCGTGTATTGAGAAATTTAAACCTATAATTAAGAGCGGCTTTTGTTGCTGAATTCAACCGATTATTTTGACGTTCTTATAAACGTGGCAGAAATAATTTCCGAAGGGATGTGACTGTAAAAATATGAATTTCATGCCTGCTTGAAAAACTCATTATTATTTTTACAATCGACTCAAAGATTAAAAAAAAAAAAAAAAATAGAATACACTATTTGAATATTTCTTTTTTAAATTTAAAATCATACAACCCAATACGACCTTTATGATCATTCGTCAAGCATTATTTCACTGTTTCATAATCGAAATCTGCGAGCAATAAATCACTTATAAACAAATTGAATTGAAAACGTTATATTAAATATTGCAAATAATCCAATTGATTCAGATAATTTTACTTCTTTTGGAGCAAAATGTATAATATCACATAAACACAAATTGATTTTCTTTGGCTTTGATTGATGAAATTTATTTGAATATTATTAGAAAGGCATTTTTTCTCTTTTACACTTTGGAATAATTACTACATGCGTGTTTACCCAAGTATACAAATAAATTAGTTGCATTTTATTTTCCATAATAATAAAATATCTGCTAAATTTTGTTGCAATGAGACGCATTTACAATTAAAGAGAAACAAAGATCACTGCCAGACCTAGCATCCAGCGACCGATGCCCTTGACCTCCGCCAGGCACACTTGGCCGAGATTCAAGGGTGAGTTGAGGGTGCAGTCGTGCAGACCACTGTCAGATTCCGGTGGGCTTCTGGGGTGCTTCGGAAGTGGCCCGGTGAGTCCATCGACCCTTGCCGAGTCCTCGTCATTCGCCGCCCACGAATTCGGAGTCCGCAGTGGACACCTCTGGATCTGCCGGACAAGAAAAAAATGATTATTTTATTTTGATGGACGATTGATTTGAAACTGACCACTTTAATTGACGGACCATTGCTCTGCGAAGCCAAATGAGATGAAGCGTGTTGGATCCCTGACTGTTACTTAAGACATTTTTGCCGTTAGTTGATAAGATTAGGCGACTGATAAGCCGAAAATCGGCCACCAAAGAATTTGACCTTTAGCATGCGGGCGCAGCCCGCCCCGCCTCTCTTTGTTTATTACAACAAGGTTTATTACCTCGAGCTTACGACGAATCTGCCATCTAGCGTTTGGAGAACGTGATTTAGTTATGCTAGTTGCCGCTAGATGACGCATTATTTGTAAATGAGATTTTTAATCTTTTTAAAAATTCACGTGTTACCATAAAATTTAGCTCTAATGTTATTAAAATATACAATTAAAAGATCGTTAATTTTTTTTTAAATTTTTAAATGAAATGTAAAAAGTTTTAAAATTTTAAAAATCATTAACAATACTTTTCAAAAAATCTTGCAGGAAAGTATAATAATTATAAATCATATTATAAAGTTTTTTTTTTATAGATTATTCATTATTTAAAAAAAGGCACTGCTGTGCTCGTCTCAGTAAATCTTAATATATTCAAATAGATTTACATTACTTCTTTTTATGTTTATATTTTATATCCCTTTTAAATACTTTTTATAACACTTTATATAAATAAAAAAAAAACATGATAATTCCATATCACACCACTTACAATAATAGATAATAGTCTCAAATGTTTCTCCAGAAAATATAAAATTACAATTTTAATTTCATGAAAAAATTTTGCTCATCTTATAAGTAAATAAGAAGTGTTAGAACAATCATAATATTCTATAATTTATAATTTGAAAAAAAAAAATAACACAAATTCCCTTAATATAAGTTCAATTAATCATTAATCCCAGCTTAATATAGTAATGAAAATAAGATGCTAATTAAAAATAAATAGAAGAATTGAATTTGGCAATGATTGATGCCAAATCGGTATTGAATCAGAATTAATTTAAATTTTTTTCAGTAGGAGTTGGCTCAAGAAAATTGAATTATATTGTCGAGCGCTGGAGTCTGCTAGTGTCAAGTGTTCCCAAGTGCAGACATTGACCTTGATCGCTTTTTGATAAAATGGAATGTGCAGCACCCAAGTGGCCAGCGGCGGCGCTCTTGCGAAAATTGAGGCGCGCTGCATATTTATAATAGCAAAGTATGCACGAGAGTACACTATTGCGATTGCACTCTGCTGTTCGAGAGGCCCTAAAGTCGAGCGGTGCCTCGGCGAGTAGCTCCGACACAAGTGGTGTGTTGAAATGCTTGAAATAATGCGCCTGTGGAATTGTAGATGAGAGACACTTGCGAGGAGAAATTTATCTTCTTCTAACGATTTAGTAATAAGAAAGTTAAACAATAAGTGCACCTACTATTATCACCGTTGATAAATCACCAACAAAATAATTAACAACTATCAATAAATATTATAAAGCTGGAAAGGCTATCGACAAACGCATCTTTATTTTTAAAGATTTAATTAACTGAGAAAATTTAGTGTACATAATTTCGTTGGTTTAAATAACACATTTCCTTAAAAATTTATTTATATTTTTGTGTTTCAGAGAATTTGCCAGAAGCAAATCGAGATGCTAATCTTCAATAAATTCAGAGGAAATTTGCTATTTTTGATGCAGAGGAAGCCAGGTAAGTTTTGGTTGCTGGAGTCTGCCAAGTGCTCATTAAGCGTTCTGATGGCTAACGTTAAGTTACAAATTGGTTCGTGTGGGCGGCCCGCCTGTCAGAGTCTTAGAGGCCAAGAGCTTGATTGACTTCGTCGAAAGGCCTTGCTTCCCATTTTGGCCTGGCAAACCGCAGTTTTCGCTATTTTCCCATAAGGCACGCATGCAACACAATTGACGTGTTTCAAACAAGGCAAGCGATAATTTATTTTTGACAAAATGTCAATTGAAAAAATTACTGCCTAAATATAAAAATGGTGTGATAGGTTTTTATTATTATTCATGGAAGTCCCAAACATTTTCTCATAACAGCAATGTTAGGACACATTGGCTATTTTTTATATCTCCTAAATTTTATCTTACAAAATTTTAAAGTAAAAAATGTAAGAATATTGAGCGAAATAATAAAAAAAAATCATGCCAAATTTATGGTTATTAAGAACGCAAAAAAAAATCGATGTTATAAAATTTTTAATTGATTTTCATTAAACTAAAAATTTGATGAAATCTGCGAGCTCTAAGTAAGTAGGAAATTTAGCTGTTAAGGATTATTTAAAAATTTAATACATTCAACATATAATTTTTGAGTGTAATGCGCCTTAATTATTTGTTTTGATTTAGATTCTATATTACACATTTTACATTCATAATAGTCCCGAAAGAAAATTTTCCATCACACACTTGACGCCTAATGCGCAATACTTTGGATACAAAACAATAAACGCACGTGTGTGCCCAAAATCCATTATCTATGTGTTAGTCCTAAGGAAAATTTCAGACACCTTAATTGGAGTCAAGTTGGCTCGTGGCTTCTGAATGGAAACCTCCATTGCATAATAATAATTTCGAGGTGGGCGTCCAGCTATAAGATAATATAGAGGACTGCAGTGAGAAACAACATTATGCATGGCTAAAGTCTGTGCTGCATGGATATAATTGTGCATATTTGTTGTTCGTGGAATTTTGAATTGAAGCCAAAAACCTGTTTGCTAGATAAGCAACAGATAAATTAACTTGGTGTGAGGGCAGCAGAGCAGAAATAATAATATTTTCCTAATAATTACACGCGGCCCACGTGCGGCTTTATTTGATTGCGTGAATAACGTCAATTTAACTCATTCATAGATCGAATGAATTATTTGTATTATAGTTTATGCATAAATTATTATTGGAAAAGGGAGGGTTGATCCTCGACCTTGCTAATGTCTGTCGAGCGATTAATGCGCGCGCTTGGGAGAGATTTATACGGTGGCTTTTTCTTATTGTTCGGTGTTACACTTCTTCTGATTCTTATTTATTTTTCATTTGTTTGCGTGTGAGCTCAATCGGATTCATGCATTATGCGTGTGTTCGCGTGTGCATCGCATTAACAATTGCGTTCTATTTATTTAAAACGGGGTAAAATATGCAAAAGGAAGAGAGTCCGCCCACAAATGACCCTCAATTCACGCAGATTTGATTCCATTCATCAATTCATTTTTCCACTTCCTTTGCATAAATGGCATAAATGACTTTCATTGCAAACATATACTCTCGAAATTAATGCCAAAGCTATTTTTGCTCTCTCCTTGGCTAGTTTCTTGGTTCTGATACCTACGAAACACTGCTTTTGGTGTACCAAAAGCTTGAATACATTGTTAATCTTCTTCTTAATGGCGCAATGCTATTTTCTTGCTTAGATTTGCGTGAATTTCTTGGATAATTTAAGCTATATGCGTCCTATTTAATTTAGCGCAAAATTTCTGCTCCACTTCAGCAGCTGCATTAAATTTCAGCCTGGTGAGTGTGTTGAATTAATTAGCTCAGGCAGGAGGATTTGTGTTGTTGGACGAAATTTGCTCACTATTTATAAATAATGTGGCAAACAAGATCATATGACTTACACAAACATAAAATTTCACCGAAATTTGAATAAGCTTTTTTTCCACCCAATCGAGATTAAAAATTGATAGCAAACTTTAGATTTTTGTAAATTGGCAATGAGCCGGAATAATATATAGACATTTAAAGGGATTGACTTTTGCTGGTATTTCAGTAAATTGAATTTGAGTGTTTATACGAAACAGGAAAATAAAATTACTTTTTTTACTTGATATATTTACTTTTTGTAGAACAATTTTCTTAATAACCAATTTGTATAATTACTTGCGTGACTAAATTGTTTTGAGAAAGTAAATTATTGATTAGTTTATAAAATTTGGAGATACAGAACATAATTATGCCAATTGAAATTTTTGTGCACTTTTCACTGAATTAATTGTCACTGTACCGACGGGCGCAATTTATACGCAGTTTGCCTGATGCAGTCTGCGCCGCTCCTGACTCGGGAGCAGAGATCGTCCGAGTCCATGACCGCCGCCCCCGGACCCCTGCATCGTCGCCACGTGACGTCACGATTCCACTGCACTGTGGGCAAACGTGCCCGCACTCAGGTATGCACGTCGTAATTACCTCTGGCTCAAATTCAGCTGCCGAGACTTTCAAAGGATGGCGATAAAAAAATGTTTTGAGAAAATTGCTCTCTTGGCGTGAGATTTCACCCTTCATAGCATGAAATTTATTTGCTTTTAGATATTGTTTTCATTCCTTTTCGTGATCAATCACAAGTCACGACGTAAAATTGCCAATGATATCGCATTTAACTGCAATGTAGTGTTATTGTATTGTCAGTCTTATTTCTTGAGATCGCGTAGGAAAATATGCAACTTGCTGCGGCGGTGGGATATATTCGAAGGTGTTTTATTGCCTTTGCGCACAGGTTGTAATTCAACACTACCAAGAGTGGGACGCTTTTTTGATCAGAGATTGAGATATTTTCAGACGCTTTTTCCCGCGAGAACCGCACTGCACGCTGCGCATAAAAAGTCAAAGCATTTTCATTAAAATGCAAAAGCGCGAACCCGAGGCTCGCTGCTGGATTTATTACGGCTGACAATTACGGCCAACTGGATTGCCTTACACTAAAAAGTAAATTATCAATCACCTGTTGGGGACGTGAAATTGATTATCCAAATAAGAGCAAAAATCTTTTAAGCACAACTTACTCTCTACACTTTTAATTCATATTGTATAATATATGTAGATAATGCACATTTTTGTTCAAAATCAAGAAAATAAAATAATAGAGAATTTTCATGCTAATGTCTTGAAATTTTTAAACTGATTCTCGTCATTTTCTTTGAATTTATAAAGTACTTAAATATTATTTTCCACTTTTATTTATTTGATGAACAAATGAACTGTGTTCTTTTAAAATATTTGCAGCTTTTCAAGCTAATATTTTTCTAGAGGCGTCCACGCAGGCCAGTTTTGGCGCTGTGTCGGTTTTTGAGCCGGCGACAAAAACTGCAACTAATTGGCAGAGAGGCGCTATTTTGAGCTCGTGTCTGCCGCCGCCTCTGCTCCCATTCGCGAAAGCAGCCCTTTGTATTTTAATCACCCGCGCCGCAGCACTTTCAGGAAGAGAGCGCTGAACACAAGTGGCCCCCGCATATAAAAATATCCTGCTGGAGATGCCCCCATGCGAATGCAAAAGACCAGCTTTAATGTGTATCTACTGTGTGGATGCATGAGAGTGACACTGCAATTCTGAACGCGAATGATTGATTAAACTCGCGCCGTTGCCACTCGCACAACAGCGCTGATTGTAACAATGCAATCGCTTGTGTCGTTTCCTCGTTTGGATTGATGGATTTTTTGCACCCTTTCTTTGAGTGCGGCGTAATTGAATCATCATCAAAAATGGTTTCACTTCTGCTGCTTGACAATTGTTGCAGAAAATTTTCACTGGAGTTTCGGTGAAAGTGAACAACACAAAATATTTAAGAGAATCTTTTATCAAATTGTGTGACAGTTCTGAGTTTTCAGTAGATAGAAAATAGAAACTATTAAATGAAAGTCAAGATTTTTTTAACTTGATGATTATTTTTAAATATAATATTATCTCATTGCGGCGGTTAGGGTACTTTAATTTCTTGGAAATTCTTGCTAGCTGATGGTGCCTTTTTTCTTTCAAACGAATTAATAAATATTTTTGAATTCAAGGTGCCATATTATAACACTTTTTACCCATTTTTACCATTTAAATGGTTTTTCATCGTTGCACATTTTAAGCAATATCTATTCTGTTAATGAGCGACTTAGTAAACTTCTCCTATTTATGTAGAAAACAACTTATTTGTGGTTTTATGCGGTTTTATAGATTTAGATTTTTTTTGTAAAGTAAAAAATTGAATTAACAATTTTAATATTTAAATATTTTAAATATTGTTTTTATTTTGCCCAGCAACTAACTCAATTTTCAATAAAATTTTAATTAGGTTGCAATCTTGTTAAATGTATACCGTTTACACATTTCATTGAAAAAGTTAGTAATTTGCACAGAATCCTTCTTACATTATTATTTGTCTTTCAAAAGCTATAGTATATAATAATTGAATAATCGATTAAAAGCTTTTTAAAGCTTTGCTTAAATTAAGAAAAACACAAATTGATTTTTTTTATTAATCATTTGAATTTCTGGTTCCTACATCCTACATTAATATCATTTCCGCGATAATTTATTAATTAAAAAAGCATTACTTCCAGGAAGAGCGAAAGCTGAATTAGGAATTAAACAAATGGATGAATTATTAAACAGATTAAGCAGTGGGCCTGCCAACAGTTGCATGAGCAAGATTCAGAGAGCGTCAGAGAGCGTGTATTAATTCACTTCCAAGTCAAGAGTCAAAGCCATTTTTTCGCCAGCGAATTTGGCCGCAGCCCAATATCTAGAGACTTTATTAGAGGCCGTGCTCATAAGTCACTCTCACGGACCACAGCATGTCCTGTTCCGCGAAAATTTTTGTGTTTTCTTTGGCTTCGGTATGAAGCGCGCGTCTGACAATAGGGCTTCTAGCAATTTTTTCTTTGCTCAAAACACACTTAATGGAATCAGCATGGGTTGAGAGGTTGAATAGTTGATGC